TTGAAAGTTCCTTGGAACCTTCGTATCGATAAAGACTTGATGTGACGCAGTTGAAGAATCTGAGATCAGCAGATTGAATATTGTGTTACCTGATACATAGTTTTCTGTACACATGTCGTGTTGAGCGAATGGAGGTGGAGCAAGCAGGACTTGCAGATCAAGTGACCCGCTGTGCTGCAAGTGAAGGCACGGGAAGGGTCCGTGCAGATAGTTAACGTTAGGAGTAGAAGAGACGATAACCATAGTGTCCAAGCGCATACGTTTTTGCCCTTGGATGGTAGCTGGGGGTGATGACGGAAGACAAGCCTCAAGGGGGAAGTTAAGTCGACAGCAGCCATGTGTATGGTTGATAAGTTCAAATAAGTTGAAATGGTACAGGTTGATAGTAACATGACAAAGCGCACATCGGGACCGACTGCCTAATGTTCCCGGGTGCGGAGATCCGCTCACTTGCACAATCCAAGAAGTCGGACGGCGATTCTTTATCGTCGACGTAGGAGTAGACGGGAATAGAATACACATAGCTAGAGGTAGGAGTAGACGGGACTAGAATACGCATAGCTAGAGGTAGGAGTAGACGGGACTAGAATACACATAGCTAGAGGTAGGAGTAGACAGGACTAGAATACACATAACTAGAGGTAGGAGTAGACGGGACTAGAATACACATAGCTAGAGGTAGGAGTAGACGGGACTAGAATACACATAGCTAGAGGTAGGAGTAGACAGGACTAGAATACACATAGCTAGAGGTAGGAGTAGACAGGACTAGAATACACATAACTAGAGGTAGGAGTAGACGGGACTAGAATACACATAGCTAGAGGTAAGAGAAGACGGGACTAGAATGCACATAGATAGAGGTAAGAGTAGACGGGACTAGAATACACATAGCTAGAGGTAAGAGTAGACGGGACTAGAATACACAAAACTAGAGGTAGGAGTTGATGGGGCGAGAATATATATAACTCGGGGTAGGAAACGGGACTCACACACAGCTAAAGGTAGGAGTAGAAGCGACTAGAACAAAGCTAGAAGTAGGAAAAACTATAGAACACACATAGCTAGAGGAAGGAGTAGACGGGACTAGACCTACATTGCTGGAATTAGCAGACGAGACTAGAACGCACTTAAAGGTAGGAGTAAACACGTTTAAAACACAGATGGAGAAAGTCAAAGACTAGAACACACATAAAAGTTTTACGAACTGTATATTCTGCAACCACGGATGGCTGTTCTATAAGTGGCGTTATTGTGTTTCAATAAAGGTATGTAATTCAGGCATGTAACGTGTTTCAGCACTCATGTTTGTAATGTATTTCAGCACAAGTATTTCACTGAGGTTTTAGTGAAAAGGGGTTTAACGGCGCCTTATATAGCAACACGCATATGACACGCAAATTCGAGAAGCCTTCCATATTTGTAAGGAAGATTTATAACATAAGGTTATCTACATGTCAACAACTTGCCCTAGTTTTATCGAATGACGATATGATTTTTTTCTATAACCAAAACCTGTTGCAAAATCTTAGAGCATAGGCGCCATTAAATGGACATACCATTTTTTATTATTGGATATATATCTAAACATGACATAATTGATCGTCTCGTGATTGGTCGCGATTAAGATTTGCTGGATTGTGTATGATATACATGTAGTTATGTTCTATGTAATTGCAATTGAGATCAAATGAAATAATATGTCTGTTTTTCATATAGCTAGCCCCCTGGGATACCAACTCGAATGTTACCATGGAAAACCCCATTCAAACACAGTATCCTCAAAGCAGACCAGTACTTGTTTCATCCCCTCGATACTGGCCACCAGGCAGGGTAACAACAAGTACAATGTTTTGACGCTATTCCGCTCTCTGGGCAGACGCTCTATCCACTAGACCACGGAGGCGGTCAGGCGAAAAAAAGGCTCTCCAGCACTTCATCACTCTCATTTCTAGCAATAATGATGAAATTATTAAAATTACAATTTTTATTCACTATTTTTTAAATGTAAATTTATGTTAAATAATATCCGACCTTGTTCTAAAATGTGAATATTTATACAATACAGCTGTCGCACCTGTGCCATTTATATTCATGTAAAGTCTATGTTATTATGAAAATGTGAACTGGAAATACAGATTGAGTGATCAGGAAATATATCAGTTGTGTACCTACTTTCTACTATAAACAACAGGAAATTTAAAAAAAACATGTTATCTCGATACATGCCTAGGGCATTCCTCCCTTAAACTCACATAGTTTGTGTCCTTCCCGTCATGATTTATTGTTAACTTCCTTCACATATGTGCCGCATAATCATTGTCTGTAATAAAATACACATTACAGGATTGTTTTTACATATCAGACAATGCATACTATACGTAACATGTTAAATAAATTATTACTTGAAAACTTTTGATGATTTGCTTTTTCAGAATTATTTGTGTGTGAAAATAGTGAGGAATGTGAAATCTTAATGGGTATACTTTCTGTCCCACACAAATCCGATTTAGACAAATTCCTCTGCTAAACCTGACGGTAGAACCGACGGTCTGTCTTTATACATTGAGATATCAGTGTCAAGTGTGACGACAACCTACATCGGTAGACCCTGGAGGACCCTGATGACATACACAGCTGTGTGACGAAAACCTACCTCGGCATGACCCTGGAGGATCCTGATGACATACACAGCTGTGTGACGACAACCTACCTCGGCTAGGCCCTGGAGGACCCTAATGACATACACAGCTGTGTGACGACAACCTACATCGGTAGACCCTGGAGGACCCTGATGACATACACAGCTGTGTGACGACAACCTACCTCGGCTAGGCCCTGGAGGACCCTAATGACATACACAGCTGTGTGACGACAACCTACCTCGGCTAGACCCTGGAGGACCTTGATGACATACACAGCTGTGTGACGACAACCTACCTCGGCTAGGCCCTGGAGGCCCCTGATGACATACACAGCTGTGTGACGACAACCTACATCGGCTAGACCCTGGAGGACCTTCACGACATGCACAGCTGTGTGACGACAACCTACCTCGGCTAGACCCTGGAGGACCCTAATGACATACACAGCTGTGTGACGACAACCTACATCGGCTAGACCCTGGAGGACCCGGGCGACATACACAGCTGTGTGACGACAACCTACATCGGCTAGACCCTGGAGGACCTTGATGACATACACAGCTGTGTGACGACAACCTACCTCGGCTAGGCCCTGGAGGCCCCTGATGACATACACAGCTGTGTGACGACAACCTACCTCGGCTAGGCCCTGGAGGCCCCTGATGACATACACAGCTGTGTGACGACAACCTACCTCGGCTAGGCCCTGGAGGCCCCTGATGACATACACAGATGTGTGATGACAACCTACCTCGGCTAGGCCCTGGAGGCCCCTGATGACATACACAGCTGTGTGACGACAACCTACATCGGCTAGACCCTGGAGGACCTTGATGACATACACAGCTGTGTGACGACAACCTACCTCGGCTAGGCCCTGGAGGCCCCTGATGACATACACAGCTATGTGACGACAACCTACATCGGCTAGACCCTGGAGGACCCTGATGACATACACAGCCGTGTGACGACAACCTACATCGGCTAGACCCTGGAGGACCCGGGCGACATACACAGCTGCGTGACGACAACCTACCTCGGCTAGACCCTGGAGGACCCTGATGACATACACAGCTGTGTGACGACAACCTAACTCGGCTAGACCCCCGAGGACCCTGATGACATACACAGCTGTGTGACGACAACCTACATCGGCTAGACCCTCGAGGACACTGATGACATACACATCTGTGTGACGACAACCTACCTCGGCTAGGCCCTGGAGGACCCTGATGACATACACATCTGTGTGACAACAACCTTCATCGGCTAGACCCTGGAGGACCCTGATGACATACACAGCTGTGTGACGACAACCTACATCGGCTAGACCCTGGAGGACCCTGATGACATACACAGCTGTGTGACGACAACCTACATCGGCTAGACCCTGGAGGACCCTGATGACATACACAGCTGTGTGACGACAACCTACATCGGCTAGACCCTGGAGGACCCTGATGACATACACAGCTGTGTGACGACAACCTACATCGGCTAGACCCTGGAGGACCCTGATGACATACACAGCTGTGTGACGACAACCTACCTCGGCTAGACCCTGGAGGACCCTGATGACATACACATCTGTGTGACGACAACCTACATCGGCTAGACCCTGGAGGACCCTGATGACATACACAGCTGTGTGACGACAACCTACCTCGGCTAGACCCTGGAGGACCCTGATGACATACACAGCTGTGTGACGACAACCTACCTCGGCTAAACCCTGGAGACATACACAGATGTGTGACGACAACCTACATCGGTTAGACCCTGGAGGACCCTGATGACATACAAAAAACATATTCCTTCTTGGGGCCAATATTGAAAACTGTATACAGTTAGCTAACCTCAACTGGAGAGATGTCTTGGGTGCTTGGGGAACACTGTATAGAAGACACAAAGCTAACTCCACAAACATTGAACAAGTACTATTAGAACCTCTTTGGTGTTACCATCAGTTTAAAAAACCGATTTCCTTTTAAGAAATTGTTTTTTAAAGGGAATTTACCCTATTAAAGATCTCTGTAATGAAGATGATATAATGCCCTTTAATGAACTTACCAAATTAATACCAAATACCAAATTAAAGGCACAATTATTGACTATTACCAAGTTCTATTAAACATACCCAAATCCTGGAAAGATACTATTAGGAATAATCTGATGGACCTACTTGTAGCGCCTGACGGCTCCAGATATTTTTATGATAAGACTATAACAACAGCAAACAGCCTGTGAAAAATGGGATACCATTCTCCAGTTAGATACAGCATGGAAGGATGTTTTTATCAGATATTGAAAATGTACAAAAGATGTAAAATTACTTGATGTTCAATATAAATTTATTTATCGCAACATCTATACAAAGAAAGATTTGTTTAAAATGAAAATTCTCGATGATGATCTGTGCTCATTTTGTGAAACTGCCACTGAATCTTTACGTCATGTATATTAGGATTGTAAGCATGTTAAAGAGTTTGGGGCTAAAGTTGAATGTTTTCTGAATGCAAAATGTTCAAAACAATTTACATTTACAAAATGCTCTGTTATTGACTTGGGTACAACTCTAACATACTGTTAAATAACACCATACTGGCAGGCAAAATATATATCCATGTATCAAGTATTAAAAAAAACAAATTGTCACTTGAAAAGTTTCTGAAGACCTTAATCGATATATTTCGGATAGAGAAATCAATTGCACTCAAAAACAATACAATAAGACAGTTTGACAGAAAATGGAAAAATTTGGCAAATGACTTGTCAAGTTAATATGTCTCTGTTTTTTATGAACAATTTCCGCTAATGTGCTGTAAGGATTTAGCTTCACACTTAGTTAATGAACATGGCAAATGTAGCCTGCCCGTTTCACCATTTGTAAGCATTGTTGGACACCTGTAGCCAACTTAAAGTTGCTGTCTGCTGTATAAGTATGTAACCTACACCTAATAAGTATACCTCATGACGTGCTACTCAATGTATAACTCTGTGATATCATATACTGAATTGAATAAAAAATATTTGAAAAATATCCCCCATATACGCCATATATCACACACCTACATAAATCCCCATCTATGCCATATATCACACACCTACATATATCCACATCTATACCATATACCAAACATCTACATATATCCCCATCTACGTCATATATCACATACCTACATATATCCAAATCTATACCATATACCAAACATCTACATGTATCCCCATCTATACCACATACCAAACATCTACATATATCCCCCATCTACGTCATATGCCACATACCTACATATATCCACATCTATACCATATACCAAACATCTACATATATCCCCATCTATGCCATATGCCACATACCTACATATATCCCAATCCATGCCATATACCAAACCTCTATATGTATCCCCCATCTATGCCATATGCCACATACCTACATATATCCCCATCTATGCCATATACAAAACCTCTTTATATATCCCCCATCTACACCATATGTCACACACCTACATGTATCCCAATCTATACTATATACCAAACATCTATATATATATCCCCCATCTACACCATATGTCACACACCTACATATATCCCCATCTATACTATATACCAAACCTCTATATGTATCCCTCACCCACTACCTGCTGTCTCTTGGTTGCTGTTTGTAGACTCAGATACGCACTACTCGCTTTATCCTGATTACTGTTAGTAGACTCAGATACGCACTCCTCGCTTTATCCTGATTACTGTTTGTAGACTCAGATACGCACTGCCCATTGTCTCTTGGTTACTGTTTGTAGACTCAGATACGCACTACTCGCTTTATCCTGATTACTGTTTGTAGACTCAGATACGCACTTCTCGCTTTATCCTGATTACTGCTTGTAGACTCAGATACGCACTGCCCATTGTCTCTTGGTTACTGCTTGTAGACTCAGATACGCACTACTCGCTTTATCCTGATAACTGTTTGTAGACTCAGATACGCACTTCTCGCTTTATCCTGATTACTGCTTGTAGACTCAGATACGCACTACTCGCTTTATCCTGATTACTGTTTGTAGACTCAGATACGCACTACTCGCTTTATCCTGATTACTGTTTGTAGACTCAGATACGCACTACTCGCTTTATCCTGATTACTGTTTGTAGACTCAGATACGCACTACTCGCTTTATCCTGATTACTGTTTGTAGACTCAGATACGCACTACTCGCTTTATCCTGATTACTGTTTGTAGACTCGAGTACAAACTGTCCGCTGTCTCCTGGTTAGTGTTCGGCCCACTAACCGTTGTGGCCTGTATTACTGTTTGTAGACTCAGATACGCACTACTCGCTTTATCCTGATTACTGTTTGTAGACTCAGATACGCACTACTCGCTTTATCCTGATTACTGTTTGTAGACTCGAGTACAAACTGTCCGCTGTCTCCTGGTTAGTGTTCGGCCCACTAACCGTTGTGGCCTGTATTACTGTTTGTAGCCTAGAATTTTGGTATTTTGTTTTCCAATGTTTAATGTGCTAGAAAAGGTTTGCCAATGTTTCTCTTTAGCTGCCTTTATTGTTTCTTTAGATGTATTACTTTCTTTAGAATGATGTTTATCCAAAAGGAGTTTTGGCCATTCTCCTTGGGATAGATAAAGAGCCCTTTCCTATTTCTGTGCTTTAGACTTGGGTGGTTTGGTTGTCGGGATGCATTTCAAGGCTATGTCCTGTATTGTGTTTGTGAAGTTTGTATTAAGGGTGTCATTGTTTAAATTGTGTAGGTTTGCTATGTCAAGTTTGCATAGTTTTGTGAACTGCTGCCAATCTGTTTTTTTAAAGTTGTAAGTTTTTCGCTGGGTGTTGGTGTCAAGAATTCGGTTTGGGGACTGATAAGACGTATTGGGAAGATTAAGTGTAATTTTGAATGGGCAGTAGACACTGCCCCAGGCGTCGTCATGAACAGCCCAGCGAGGTCTATCCTAGATATTTCTGATTTCCTGAACAGCAATAATAAGGGTTGGATTTAAAAAAATAATATTTGACTCTTCTCAAACTCAAAGGATTTGCTTGACTGTTTACAATCTAAGAAAAGAATCAAGTTTAATTTTCTCAAAACATTTGATTTTCCAACCTTGTACACCTCTGTTCCACGTGACAAACTTAAAGAAAGAACTTAATTCCGTGACCCATGGGGCTTTTGTTACAAAACGTGGTGATCAAAGATACCGTTTCATATCTATCAGTGTTTTAATAACAGTGCACAGTAGGCAACAAGAGAAGTTATCGTGGCGAGGAAGGCTGCTTGGCCTGCCGCTGACTGACTGTAAGATTGGCTGTAGTGTGGGAACTGGTATGGAGACTTTAGTTGTTGGTTGTCGTTTCAGGAGAGAGAGGAGTTGAGATTAAGTTTTGATTTGTTGCCGCAGCCCGGGGCTGGTCGATGAACAATGAATGACTCTCTTCCAGAGCAGATGATGATGATGATGATGATGATGATGATGAGATTTAACGACGTTATCTCTTTTTTTATTCCTGCCTGAACAATGATATACGTGTGGTTCAATGAACAAATACTATTATTTATTATATATATATATATCATCTTCTGATCTGATGAATTCTAAATGATAAAGTTAGTTCAGTAACGACGTTTGGGTCGAGATTATTAGTAGGCCATCCAATGGCATCCGACAACGGCATATGTCTTCAATCAATTATTAGTGAATTATGCTGAATAGTGTAACACGATTTTCGTCAATCCAATAATCTACCATGGACATGATTTCTTTTGAAAACACCATTAATAACGGAATCAAGGGAATCAAGCTTGAGTTTGAGGTGTGTTTCAAAATCTCAACATCTCCACCAGATGCTGTAAACAATAATTTAACAAAACCTATAAAAATTGTAATGAAAATTATCAGATGTGTAGCTACCAATGAGGAGAACGTGCCACCGCACATTGAATGATGAGTAAGAATGTTTAGTCTTGTTATGGAATTATAATTTAGTCAAGACATTGCGCGAGGCGGATACCATTAAATGAATATACAATAATACAAGCAACAAAACCCTTTCGATATTCATAAGAAATGTAGTCCATTGTACGTTTCCGACCTTATCATGAACATGTGTTTATGAATCACTATCAAGTGATGACAACAGCTGTTCGCGAAAAGGTGGCTGTATTCTGCCTCACTTGTGGCACCCGTCACAAACACATGCAAAGGCAAGTAAGTAGTTTACTTGAAAAAATAACTAAAAATATAACTAAAACAACTATGGTACAAGTCAGATTAAAATAGGAATTGCAAAGGACATACTTTTTGTAACTGACGTGTCAAATTGAAAATATCATCCGCATGCCTACCATAAAACGTTTGCAAGTGACACGTTTCACAATATGATTACGGCATGTATTTACGTTTGTATCAAATGGTATTGAAAAATCTGGTTGTTGAACCATATTCGTAACTATCGGCATCCAGAAGATGAGGTCGACGATGCCGTAAGCGCCTACGTAACAGTCTTGTGGTCTCGTCATCGACGTCGTCGTCATTAGCGACTGGTTGAGGAATGGAAACTGACAACGTTGACGGGGACCCTGACCAAGGCTGTCGCTGTCCGGATGCGAAGACAGCGTAGAAGATAACGCCACCGAAGTGGATGGAGGCGGCGATGATGAAGAGTCGTTTCCAAGCAGTGGCGACGTCGGCGTTTGTCTGTGGGCAGAGATAACTAGAGTAAGTGTTTAAACCAATTCATGTTGCTGTAACATAACCATGACGGCTTGAGCTGTAAGGGTATCCTTGGCATGTGACAAAAAGATACAGTGTCTTTGTAGCTCGTATATCAATCTATGACACAGAGAAAGGATGCCAGGTACTTAAATGATTCATTAGGGTTACATGGGTACTGGGGACCTATCAGTCGACAGGCAAAACAGGCGTACGGGGCCTGCATCAGAGGATAGGCCAAGTCAACGTACGGGGCCTGCATCAGAGGGTAGGCCAAGTCAGAGTACGGGGTCTGCATCAGAAGATAGGCCAAGTCAGAGTGCGGGGCCTGCATCAGAGGACAGGCAAAGTCAGAGTGCGGGGCCTGCATCAGAGGATAGGCCAGGTCAGCGTACGGGGCCTGCATCAGAGGGTAGGCCAAGTCAGCGTGCGGGGCCTGCATCAGAGGATAGGCCAGGTCAGCGTACGGGGCCTGCATCAGAGGACAGGCCAAGTCAGAGTGCGGGGCCTGCATCAGAGGACAGGCCAAGTCAGAGTGCGGGGCCTGCATCAGAGGGTAGGCCAAGTCAGCGTACGGGGCCTGCACCAGAGGATAGGCCAGGTCAGCGTACGGGGCCTGCATCAGAGGATAGGCCAAGTCAGAGTACGGGGCCTGCATCAGAGGATAGGCCAGGTCAGCGTACGGGGCCTGCATCAGAGGACAGGCCAAGTCAGAGTGCGGGGCCTGCATCAGAGGACAGGCAAAGTCAGAGTGCGGGGCCTGCATCAGAGGACAGGCAAAGTCAGAGTGCGGGGCCTGCATCAGAGGGTAGGCCAAGTCAACGTACGGGGCCTGCATCAGAGGGTAGGCCAAGTCAGCGTACGGGGCCTGCATCAGAGGATAGGCCAGGTCAGCGTAAGGGGCCTGCATCAGAGGACAGGCCAAGTCAGCGTACGGGGCCTGCATCAGAGGGTAGGCCAAGTCAGCGTACGGGGCCTGCATCAGAGGACAGGCAAAGTCAGCGTACGGGGCCTGCATCAGAGGATAGGCGAAACCGCATTAGCGGTGGTTCGAGAAGGGAGCTAACTCCGTTTACCTTATCGAAAGTTCGAGGTGGGCCCACATTCGAAACTAAACGCACTTGTTGTTGAGAATATGTACTAAATAAACAAACCCGCATTTGGAACTGCTATTTTGTCTACTTAAAATAAGTATTGTGACTTATAATTGGATTAAAATGTACAAATGCGATGGCAATACAGCAGAACTCACTTCTACGAACATCGCCAAACTAGGTCGTGGGGTCATTAATATTCATGAGCTATTCCTTTTATGGAACAAATTCTCGGAAACGTTTGAGGCTTGTATCATGTCCGAGATCAATCCAAGTGTAGACATATTTTCAGGCTTATATCGCCACCAATACTTATGATTAGATTGATGTGTTATACTGGAAAAAGTAGAAAGAGTGGTATTGCCTCTGTAAATTTAATTTGAAGTAGATCTTGCTTTGTAACTATTTTTGTAAACTAGTGTGGTCAGCTATGATGACGTTATTCAAACTTCAAAGACTTTTGTGCCTTTCGTGAAATTAACGTTACACGAAATGATTTATAAAGATATTTCCCATCAATATTACAAAATAAGAATAATATATATTGTCACATACCCATGCAAAGTAATGACAAATGTGAGCCAACTAGGCCTAGCCTAAATGACTTCGTCAACCCAATGAAACCCAGCGATTTACAAATGTGAGCCCAACTGTTTCGATCACTATTAGACGGGAACAATGTGGGCCCACATTTTAGAAAATGGTTATAAGTAAGCCAAGGTAATGAAGCTTGGCGATTTTTTTAATGTGGTCCCTCCCGTTGCAATCACTATGACGGAAGAACGTCTTCCCACTAGGCGATATACAAATGTGGGCCCACTTGTTTCGATCACCATATATGACGGGATCAATGTTGGCCCACGTTTGAGAAAATGATTATCAATATTTAAGTAGAATTTCGCGATGAATAAATGTCGTCTCTCCTGTTGCAATCAATATGACGGAAGAACGTCTGCCCACATTTAGGAATTGATTATCAGAACTAACGAAACAACCTAACGAAGCTAGGCGAAATACAAATGTGGGCCCACTTGTTTCGATCACCATAGATGACGGGAAAAATGTGGGCCCACATTTTAGAAAATGGTTATCAGCACTAAACCAATCTTAGAAGATGTACGGATGGAAACATAAATATATAATGCATTCAAACATTTAAATTAAGAATACGTTTTACCTTAGGGATAAGCTGGGCATTTAATAGCTGGACAAACAACGTACAGCGTGGATGACGCCATTTCTTGCAAATACGAAAACAACGGAGATAGCTCCCGATTGAAATTAGAGTGACCTCCCTTTCCCAATATGAACCACTGATAATACGGTGTCGCTAGAGGATAGGCAAAGTCAGAGTGCGGGGCCTGCATCAGAGGATAGGCAAAACCAGCGTACGGGACCTGCATCAGAGGATAGGCAAAGTCAGCGTACGGGGCCTGCATCAGAGGATAGGCAAAGTCAGCGTACGGGGCCTGCATCAGAGGATAGGCAAAGTCAGCGTACGGGGCCTGCATCAGAGGATAGGCAAAGTCAGCGTACGGGGCCTGCATCAGAGGATAGGCAAAGTCAGCGTACGGGGCCTGCATCAGAGGACAGGCCAAGTCAGCGTACGGGGCCTGCATCAGAGGACAGGCCAAGTCAGAGTGCGGGGCCTGCATCAGAGGATAGGCCAAACCAGCGTACGGGGCCTGCATCAGAGGATAGGCCAAGTCAGAGTGCGGGGCCTGCATCAGAGGATAGGCAAAGTCAGCGTACGGGGCCTGCATCAGAGGATAGGCAAAGTCAGAGTGCGGGGCCTGCGTCAGAGGACAGGCAAAGTCAGCGTACGGGGCCTGCATCAGAGGACAGGCCAAGTCAGCGTACGGGGCCTGCATCAGAGGATAGGCCAAGTCAGAGTGCGGGGCCTGCATCAGAGGACAGGCCTAGTTAGCCTACGGGGCCTGCATCAGAGGACAGGCCAAGTCAGCGTGCAGGATCTGCATCAGAGGCCACACCAAGACAGCGTACGGGGCCTGCATCAGAGGACAAGCCAAGTCAGCGTACGGCTGACTGTGTTTTCACGAATTCAAGATTTCACGGAGCACTCTTAAAGAGGGAATAACAGCGAACAGAGGGTGAAGGCGAATGCACATTGTGAAAGTTTACAGTACAATACTACTCACGACGACGTCCCTGGCGAAGTAGGCGATCAGTGTGCTGAGGATGGACCCCAGCATCCCAAGTCTAGATAGACCTGTCACAACGCTGGCATACTTGGGGGCTAGGTCAAGAGGATTCACCTGATAACCTAAGAAATAAATATTTTGTTATAACAAGAACCGTTATTGAATGAAAACACGTATGAACTTTGATATATTTGTACTGTTACTCACATTTGCGTCTAAAATGTGTGTTTACCTTTCCGACAAGACTAAACCATAAAAACATACACAAATACACACTTTCATCTTGCTAATATTGGAATGTGGATATGTTTCCCACAAAACTCTTATACCACTATTGGTTTGGGAACACTGAAGGGGGAGCGTTGAAAGTGTTTAATGTTTGAAGAAAATATATAAGACAAGAGTCGGATTTTGTAATCATTCATGACGAACAGATTAATGTCCTAACATTAAGAATCTAGATATTTGATCACCGTCTACACGAAACTACGTTACGTCTGTATTATGAGTTACCTGAGATTGCGAAGCCACTGAAACCGACACCCGCACAGAAAAGACCGAAAGCCTTTTTCCAGTCTCCCACGAACGCGATGGCCATCAAGCTAGCTGCCTCCAAACCAAACCCTGCAACAGAATCCTTCATATGATGACACTGAAGACAAGGGTAATTACCACATCGAACCCTGCAACAGGACCCATCATATAATCACACTGAAGACAAGGGTAAATACCCCATCGAACCCTGCAACAGGACCCATCATCTGATCACACTGAAGATAGATGTAAATACCTTGATAAATTATTCGCGATACTTCAGCCTCTTTACCATTAAAGAACGGTAAATGTGAAGTAAATGAGTCACTGTACATCTTACTATCCAGCCAAATCAATCATCTGATTTTGTTGTTGAAGTCTCATCTCAAGAAAAACGAACTCGCTTGACGTGGCAAAGGACGAGTTATGAAAAGGGCCTTTTACTAATGAGTGAGTGAGTATGGTTTTTACGCCGCTCTTAGCAATATTCCGGCAATATCACGGCGGGGATAGCAGAAATGGGCTTCAGACATTGTACCCATGTGGGGAATCGAACCCGGTTTCTTCGGTGTGACGAGCGAACGCTTTTACCACTAGGCTACCCGACCGCCCCTTTTTTTAATAATGACGTAGACGAGGCACATTTAGTAAATTCATACCATCGAACGTTTGTGTACATATGTCCTTAAGACTTTACTGTAAATCTGTAAGGTTTTGCGAGCAGGAACGTACTTCGAAAACTACGAGGGAAACACACTCGAAATAGTTTCATGGCGCAGTTATTTTTGCGGACCAACTAGGAACAAAAGACAAGGGTGCACATTTCGGTTCTTCACTTCCACACTTTGTCAAAATATTAACCTAAATAAATAACTTCTCAAATGATGTTAACTTATTACCAATTGTTACTCAGCGTCAAGAGTCTAATCAGGAAAGTTCCCAAACCTGCTACACCTCGTCACTTTCCTTGCATAACAATGAGTAGTCCAGACAGCATTATACAACTACTGTAAGATAAACCCTCTACTCCAACCTTCCTTGTCAACAACAACAAAACATCCATCCATTTGAAAAACCCTGAGTGACAGTGAGCTAACTTTTCACTATACTGTTGCCTTTGCATAAAGAAAACAACACGTGCTAAAGCAGCTTTCCACACTGAGTTATGGCTATTGTTACCCGCTCCACACCACTTCATAACACGTATCACGCCATGGTTTGTCTAAACTGCCTGGCAAAATAAAGTAAACTTCCATGTTTAATGGTGGATGAGGGTGAAACAAACGAACATGGTTATGCAATTGATCACGGGTATTATAGTTGTGTTTTGGACCTTAAGTGTGCAGTGTTTCGGCAACTGTTTTCAGCCTAATAATGTTTTGATATCGTTTGTAATATTTTGGTTGGCCAAATCCAATTTTCAAGTGTATATTATCTTTTGTCCAACAGTTTGGTTGAATTGCCACAAATGGTAACAAAACGTGCATTGAATAAGTTTCATGGTTAAATCCTTAGGCACAGGACAGGGTATTTTTTGTGCAAAACTTGTTATGTCAGATTAAAATTATGTTCATTGGCAGTTGATGTCCTTACATCTTTCCGAGGCTATAAAAGTCAAGTTTCCACCCTTGCCTAACTAGGCTGGAATTATGGAGTTAAATTTTTGGCTTGACTAACGAGTCTATCTATAGTCCAATAAAAATCACGTTCGTGAACTGACAGGCAGATTTCGGTCGATTGCATGATTTGCAAAATATGTGTACCACCAGCTCGGCGTCAACAGATATTTTCCAAATCTTTTCAAGTTTTTAATCATGGTGCTCACGTGATTTGATGAACTTCGCGAAGTAAAACGCTTATAATTACAATATAGACATCGAATATTGAAAAGATCGGCTTGACCGCCATTTTGTTTGAAGCAAATGCAAGTGATATGCGAGGTGGAACCTGATTGGTCAATAGGAGGGACATAGAAGGGACACAAGCGTCATACCACAGTTACTCAAAAGTTGTTTTCAAGGCCTCAGCGAAGCTTTCAAATGTTTTGTTGTAGACATGTGGATGACATTTCAATATTTGACGCCTTAGTGACAAAAATGATGCAATTTCCCATTTTGAATTGTACCATGATTAAGCTCCCGTGTTTTTTCGGGTGATCAATTGACTTAAATGAGATTATGATGGTTGCCACCGATGGGGCAGGCAGGATACGCTCTCGTCTCACATAATCACATGCTTATGATTAGATATACCAAGTTGGAATCATACAATGGACTCTGCTTTCGGACGAAATTTCTTATGATTATGGAATGGTTGTTGTCGTTTTCACTTTTTGCAAAACCAAAACTGGCCCATCAGATAGTTAGTTAGATTCTTTAACGAGTAATGATATTTAATGATAACCTTTACAATGATGGTATCTCTTGGTCACCACGTTCACTCGTCACGCCGAAGACCCGGGTTCGATTCCCGACATGGGTACAATGTGTGAAGCCCATTTCTGGTGTCCCCCGCCGTGATATTGCTGGAATATTGCTAAAAGCGGCGTAAAACAATACTCACTCACTCACTCACTCACTCACTCACTCACTCACTTGGTCATCACTATCAGATATTCCACTGTTGCTCTTGCAAAAAAATTATTATCTTTAACAAGCATAAAAGAGTAACGTGGGAAATTGATTGTGTGAGCAAGCATGATCCAATTATTTCTTTGTGCGCGAATTTACATTTTTTCACAGATATTGTCGGCCTCCTCACGGACCAAAATTAAACTATCATACATAGCACCAAATGACAGAACGGAGATATAGAACGGTTTCTATAATGCATAATCACAATACGGTTTTAATGTTTTAGGACGCATTAGGATATCAGTTATGTGGCAGACATGTTGTTTATGGTCTGCTGGGGAATTTAATCTGATGTCACGTCAGTGTTGTTTGTGCAAGAAGAGACAGCAGCCTGGGATAAACGAAAAACCACATTTCACCCATACAGCACACGGCCTTTAACTTGGGGAAGACTGACGGTGAGGTATTGGAGACCTACCCAGTGTTTCGGAGAGCCTCCTGGCGACAGTTATGGAACATATGCCTCGACTGATCACGTTGTCGACGAGGAAACCGCCAGGTATCACAACCATTGTCATCAAGACATGAGGTACAGCCGACAGAAACCCGATCTGCAAGAAACGTGCACGTCACAAATTGCATGACAAGAGATAGTTAAACTAGCCTGGGAAGGAACAACTCAGCTATTTGATTTTCAACTCATTCAAAGAGCGCATGTTTAAATTATATGAAAATAGCCAAATATACTTCAGCTTTAAACGCACTTCAACTAAGGCCATATTTAATTCAGCTGAGTCCACCCTTACTTTAACGTTGATGGCTGCAGGTCAGTGAAGGCACACCTTCTTCCTCTTGAGAACGTTTACGCCAGCTGTGGGTATATTTGCTTCAGCTGCGATCATATTTCAGGTGTTAGTAAACTGGTGTGCGTAGATGTACCTACTTCTGTAGATATATTTACTTTAGTTGTGACATACCAATTTCAGCTATAAACATGCGTACAACAGCTGTAGACATATCCTATTTAAGCGTTTATCATGCTGATATCAGCTGTAGGCATATCCTATTTCAGCGTTAATTATGCTTATATCAGCTGTAGGCCTATCCTATTTCAGCGTTAATCATGCTTATATCAGCTGTAGTCATACCTGTTTCAGCGTTAATCATGCTTAGATCAGCTGCAGGCATATCCTATTTCAGCCTTAATCATGCTAATATCAGCTGTAGTCATACCTGTTTCAGCGTTAATCATGCTTATATCCGCTGAAGACATACCTATTTCAGCTTTAAACATGCGTACATCACCTGTAGAATACCTATTTCAGGTTTAATCATGTGAACATCAGCTGTAGACATACCTATTTTAGCTTTAAACATGCGTACATCAGCTGTAGAATACCTATTTCAGCTTTAAACATGCGTACATCAGCTGTAGAATACCTATTTCAGCTTTAATCATGCGAACATCAGCTGTAGACATTCCTAATTTAGCTTTAAACATGCATACATCAGCTATAGACATACCTGTTTCAGCTTTAAACATGCATACATCAGATGTAGGCATACCTATTTCAGGATAGACACAATTTTTATGGATAACAACTTCTTTATTACTTGGAAAAGCGACGTTTCGGTATAGATACTTATACCGTTGTCAAGCAAGACTGAATGAGGGACATAGTACAGAATATATATAGTAGGTGGAGGATTAACAGTAGAGGATTTAACAGTAACAACAACTGTATACATGAGTGGGATAACATTGGTAGGTGAAACCAGCCTATCCACCGAATCCATCATCGCCCTCACCACCGCCTGTATCTCCTCCACCTACTTCACCTGGGGCGACGAGTACTATCAACAAATACACGGCCTACCCATGGGATCCCCACTCTCTCCTATCCTTACTGAAATCTACATGACCTACTTCGAACAGCAAGCCCTCACAACATCCCCCATCCAACATATTTGCTGGTACAGGAAAGTTGACGACACCTTTGTCATCCTTAAACAAGACCAAAACCCAACCCTGCTACTACAACATCTTAATCAACAACACCCCCGAGGACAGTTCACCATCGAAATAAAAAAGGACAACCGACTACCCTTCCTAGATGTCCTCGTCTCCAGAAGCCCAACAAACAGAATCCAAACCAGTGTCCACCCACACCGACCAGTATATCCACTTCAACTCTAACCACCCTCTTAGAACCAAGACTGGCATCATCTCCACCCTCACCAAACGAGCCATCAACCTTTCCTCTGCTGACCCCAAACCTGAGATCGAACACTTCCGCCAAGTCTTCACCCACCTCAACAATGATCCACCCAATCTCGTCGACAAAGTCATCGCCTCTGTACTCCATCCCACACCCAGACCTGCGACCCTTAAACCCGAAAACCCGAATCAGCGCCCTTCCGCATCGCCTTCCCGTTCATAGGAAAAGCTTCCCACATCATCAGCCGCCTCCTCAAACAGCAGGCCAACATCGACACCCACTTCACCAGCTCCAACTCCCTCAACACCCTGCTAAGAGCCAACGGCAGGAACACAACCAAACCCCAAGAGCCTAAAGGTGTAGTGTACAAAATTGACTGCAACTGTGGACAATCTTACGTAGGTGAAACATCCCGCCCAATCAACACCAGAATGAAAGAGCATAAAACCTCCACCATCAAATCCGACAGCAAATCAGCCATCTCGGACCATATCAGCAACTGTCCCAATCACATCATCAACTGGGACAACGTCCAAATCCTCGCCAACAGCCTCCATGATTTCACTAAAAGAAAACTAACAGAAGCAGTCCACATTCGCCGCCACAAGCAATCAATCAACAGAGATCAAGGCTATTTCAACCCATCCGCCTACTATGAACTCATCAAACAATAATCACTTATCCTGTTTATCGGCTTCATGTCCCTATTGGTTTCCACCTATGTGTTCTCTGTCCATCGTGTTGTGACAGCTTCATCCCTTTGTTGTCAACACCTACCAATGTTATCCCACTCATGTATGCAATTGTTGTTACTGTTAATCCTCTACTGTTAATCCTCCACCTACTATATATATTCATTACTATGTCCCTCATTCAGTCTTGCTTGACAAGGATCTATACCGAAACGTCGCTTTTCCCAGTATTAAAGAAGTTATTATCCATAAAAATTGTGTCTATCTTGTCATCCGTCAACTTCTAAGTAATTATCAAACAATTTACCTATTTCAGCTTTAAACATGCGTACATCAGTTGTAGACATACGTGTTTTAGCTTTAAACATGCATACACCACCTATAGACGTACGTACTTTGGCTGTGGTCATGTGTACATCACCTATAGACGTACGTACTTTGGCTGTGGTCATGTGTACATCACCTATAGACGTACGTACTTTGGCTGTGGTCATGTGTACATCACCTATAGACGTACGTACTTTGGCTGTGGTCATGTGTACATCACCTATAGACGTACGTACTTTGGCTGTGGTCATGTGTACATCACCTATAGACGTACGTACTTAGGCTGTGGCCATGTGTACATCACCTATAGACGTACGTACTTTGGCTGTGGTCATGTGTACATCACCTATAGACGTGCGTACTTTGGCTGTGGTCAAGTGTACATCACCTATAGACGTACGTACTTTGGCTGTGGCCATGTGTACATCACCTATAGACGTACGTACTTTGGCTGTGGTCATGTGTACATCACCTATAGACGTGCGTACTTTGGCTGTGGTCAAGTGTACATCACCTATAGACGTACGTACTTTGGCTGTGGTCATGTGTACATCAGCTATAGACGTACGTACTTTGGCTGTGGTCATGTGGTACACATCCTTGAAGTACTGGGGCTGCTGGGTCAACAACACGGCGGAGATCCAGTTCCGGCAGAAGGCGCCGACAATGATGGCATACACTGGAAGTGACGTCAGAATACCTCTCCACGGAATAATGTCCGCCTGAAACGATTGTTGTGACATACATGAAGTACAGCTACAGCTGAAGTAAGCTATATGACGGCGGTCTGTAAAATAATCGAGTCTGGAGCAGACAATCCAGTGATTGACATTATGAGCATCGATCCACGCAAGATCGATGACATGTATCAACCAAGCCAGCGAGTCTGACCACCCGGTCCCGTTAGTCGCCTTTTACGGCAAGCATGGGTTGCTGAAGACCTATTCTAAGCCGGATCTTCACGGGTCCACACGGCTTATAATCGACGTAGCGTTGAAAAGGTGGGCGTAGCACGTGATTGAGATTGGGATGTTCAGAAATTTGTGGTTTGCTAACGTTTCGTAGAGTTAGTATACTGGTGCCATACCTCCCCATCTGTGCTGTTGTTGAAGGAGTGATCCGTTTGGAACAGTCCTCTCTCCCTCTCCCCAAGACTAGGATGATGTCTAGGATTGTCATAGACACAGACCATCCAGACCAAGGACCATACCACACCACACCCACCTGCAGAGACAGGACACTATCTTATTGGCAGTTTATAATTATGGTGGAATAGGTACAAAGCATTGTCAGCAGCAGGTGTTATAAAGTATAACCCCCAATTACCATGACTGAAGTGGTCACGTACCGTAGATGTAGATGCTGCTGCTCCAGCTGACGTAGCACGCACAGGCGCCCGTTGTGATGAGGGCGATGGCGGGGCTGATGTAAGCACCTGTTGTAATAAGGACACGTTATGCAACTTCACCAATAGTAGAACCATCCACCATTATTTCTGGGTAGCTAATGGCATATCCTCTAATAGTTTAGCAAGTAAAGCTGTGAACTTGCGATATCGTTACACAATCAGAGCATCTACCAGCATGTCACGTCGTACTCACTTGTCGTTACACAAATGAAGTAGATCACCTACCAGCATATGCTATGGTTATCATCCGGCTCCTCTCCGTTTTGGGGGCCCATTCTGATATGACGCCATTCAGAGCAGGCACCGAGCATCCCTGAAACACAGTCACATGTTGATTAAATACAACAGGTAACTAACTTTTTTTCCAAAACTATGCGATTGTTGGTTGGGGTGTATTGAAAAACAGAATGATGTATTTTGAAAGGTTGAAAGAAGAACGTACAACAGAGCAATGTCAAGTGTGACGACAACCTACCTCGGATAGACCCACGAGGACCCTGATGACATACACAGCTGTGTGACGTCAACCTACCTCGGCTAGACCTTTGAGGACCCTGATGACATACACATCTGTGTGACGACAACCGACCTCGGATAGACCCACGAGGACCCTGATGACATACACATCTGTGTGACGACAACCTACCTCGGCTAGGCCCTGGAGGACCCTGATGACATACACAGCTGTGTGACGACAACCGACCTCCGCTAGACCCTGGAGGACCCTGATGACATACACAGCTATTTGACGACAACCTACCTCGGCTAGACCCTGGAGGACCCTGATGACATACACAGCTGTGTGACGACAACCGACCTCGGCTAGGCCCTGGAGGACCCTGATGACATACAAAGATGTGTGACGACAACCTACCTCGGCTAGACCCTGGAGGACCCTGATGACATACACAGCTGTGTGGCGACAACCTACCTCGGCTAGACCCAGGAGGACCCTGATGACATACACAGATGTGTGACGACAACCTACCTCGGCTAGACCCTGGAGGACCCTGATGACATACACAGCTGTGTGATGACAACCTACCTCGGCTAGACCCTGGAGGACCCTGATGACATACACAGCTGTGTGACGACAACCTACCTCGGCTAGACCCTGGAAGACCCTGATGACATACACAGCTGTGTGACGACAACCTACCTCGGCTAGACTCTGGAGGACCCTGATGACATACACAGCTTTGTGACGACAACCTACCTCGGCTAGACCCTGGAGGACCCCGATGACATACACAGCTGTGTGACGACAACCTACCTCGGCTAGACCCTGGAGGACCCTGATGACATACACAGCTGTGTGACGACAACCTACCTCGGCTAGACCCTGGAGGACCCTGATGACATACACAGCTGTGTGACGACAACCTACCTCGGCTAGACCCTGGAGGACCCTGATGACATACACAGATGTGTGACGACAACCTACCTCGGCTAGACCCTGGAGGACCCTGATGACATACACAGCTGTGTGACGACAACCTACCTCGGCTAGACCCTGGAGGACCCTGATGACATACACAGCTGTGTGACGACAACCTACCTCGGCTAGACCCTGGAGGACCCTGATGACATACACAGATGTGTGACGACAACCTACCTCGGCTAGACCCTGGCGGACCCTGATGACATACACAGCTGTGTGACGACAACCTACCTCGGCTAGACCCTGGAGGACCCTGATGACATACACAGCTGTGTGACGACAACCTACCTCGGCTAGACCCTGGAGGACCCTGATGACATACACAGCTGCGTGACGAAAACCTACCTCGGCTAGACCCTGGAGGACCCTGATGACATACAAAGCTGTGTGACGACAACCTACCTCGGCTAGGCCCTGGAGGACCCTGATGACATACACAGCTATGTGACGACAACCTACCTCGGCTAGACCCTGGAGGACCCTGATGACATACACATCTGTGTGACGACAACCTACCTCGGCTAGGCCCTGGAGGACCCTGATGACATACACAGCTATGTGACGACAACCTACCTCGGCTAGACCCTGGAGGACCCTGATGACATACACAGCTGCGTGACGACAACCTACCTCGGCTAGACCCTGGAGGACCCTGATGACATAGACAGCTGCGTGACGACAACCTACCTCCGCTAGACCCTGGAGGACCCTGATGACATACACAGCTATGTGACGACAACCTACCTCGGCTAGGCCCTGGAGGACCCTGATGACAAACACACCTGTGTGACGACAACCTACCTCGGCTAGACCCTGGAGGACCCTGATGACATACACAGCTATGTGACGACAACCTACCTCGGCTAGACCCTGGAGGACCATGATGACATACACAGCTGTGTGAGGACAACCTACCTCGGCTAGACCCTGGAGGACCCTGATGACATACACAGCTGTGTGACGACAACCTACCTCGGCTAGGCCCTGGAGGACCCTGATGACATATACAGCTGTGTGACGACAACCTACCTCGGCTAGACCCTGGAGGACCCTGATGACATACACAGCTGTGTGACGACAACCTACCTCGGCTAGACCCTGGAGGACCCTGATGACATACACAGCTGTGTGACGACAACCTACCTCGGCTAGGCCCTGGAGGACCCTGATGACATACACAGCTGTGTGACGACAACCTACCTCGGCTAGGCCCTGGAGGACCCTGATGACATACACAGCTGTGTGACGACAACCTACCTCGGCTAGGCCCTGGAGGACCCTGATGACATACACAGCTGTGTGACGACAACCTACCTCGGCTAGGCCCTGGAGGACCCTGATGACATACACAGCTGTGTGACGACAACCTACCTCGGCTAGGCCCTGGAGGACTCTGATGACATACACAGCTGTGTGACGACAACCTACCTCGGCTAGGCCCTGGAGGACCCTGATGACATACACAGCTGGGAGGTTGTACTGGATGGCCGTGGGAAGCACCAGGAACAGCACACTGCTCACCAGTATACTCAGTCCACACACCCTTGGAAAGGGGGAGAAAATTTATGATTACACATCCTGAGAAAGGGCATCTTCCCGAGGCAAGAGAGTTTACTGACTATAAAAGTCCAGTTTCCACCCTTGCTGAACTAGGCTGGTATGGATTTACATTTTGGCTGGACTAACGAGTCTATGTATAGTCCAATCAAAATCGCGCAACGAAATCGAAATCCGGTTTGTAAACTGTCGTGCACATTTCGGTCGATTGCAGGATCTGCAAAGCATGTGCACCGCTAATTCGTTGTCAACAGATATTTTCCAAGTCTTGTCATATTTTTAATCAAGGTGCTCACGTGATTTGGCACACTTCGCGATGTGAGACCCGTTTTATCACAATATAGATCTTGATTATCGATCAGATTGTCTTGACTGGGTGGCGCCATTTTGTTTGAAACATATGCACATGATACGAGAATCTGATTGGTCCAAAGAATAGGCTTAGTAGGGACATAACTCGTAATAACCACTGGTAGCGCTACGATCGAGGCAAGAATTCCAGCCTGGTTCGGCAAGGGTGAAAACTGGACTTTCGATTAACTCCCTTGCCTCGGGAAGATGGAGAAAGGGAGATACATTTTACTTATAAGTGCACGTCCTGAGAGAGGGAGATACCACGTATAATTGCATGTCATGAGAAAGGGAGATACATTCTTTTAATATACGTCATGAGAAAGGGAGTACTTCTTGTGAAAGGAAGATAGAATACATACTTGAACGTCCTGAGAGAGGAAGATACAGTAATGTTTATAATCACACGTCATGAGAGAGGGAGCATCTTGTAGCGACAATTCCGCCTGGTACCTGAGCGGCGAAATTGCAACCGTTAAAAAGATACAACTTACCATTTAGATATGTAGCGAGCTGCAGGAGCACCACCTGGTAACTGAGTGGCGAAATTGCCACCGTTAAAAAGATACAACTTACCATTTAGAGATGTATCGAGCTGCAGGAGCACAACCTGGTAACTGAGTGGCGAAATTGCCACCGTTAAAAAGATACAACTTACCATTTAGAGAAGTAGCGAGCTGCAAGAACACCCCCTGGTATTTGAGTGGCGAAATTGCCACCGTTAAAAAGATACAACTTACCATTTAGATATGTAGCGAGCTGCAGGAGCACAACCTGGTAACTGAGTGGCGAAATTGCCACCGTTAAAAAGATACAACTTACCATTTAGATATGTAGCGAGCTGCAGGAGCACCACCTGGTAACTGAGTGGCGAAATTGCCACCGTTAAAAAGATACAACTTACCATTTAGATATGTAGCGAGCTGCAGGAGCACCACCTGGTAACTGAGTGGCGAAATTGCAACCGTTAAAAAGATACAACTTACCATTTAGAGGAGTAGCGAGCTGCAGGAGCACCACCTGGTAACTGAGTGGCGAAATTGCCACCGTTAAAAAGATACAACTTACCATTTAGATATGTAGCGAGCTGCAGGAGCACCACCTGGTAACTGAGCGGCGAAATTGCCACCGTTAAAAAGATACAACTTACCATTTAGATATGTAGCGAGCTGCAGGAGCACCACCTGGTAACTGAGTGGCGAAATTGCCACCGTTAAAAAGATACAACTTACCATTTAGAGGAGTAGCGAGCTGCAAGAATACCGCCTGGTATCTGAGTTACGAGGGTACCGCAATAAAAAGCGGTGTAAAACAGGAATACACGACTTGGATCTATGTGCAGCTGCAGGTTTCGAGAGGTGCCTGTTGCTGTACACTGCCAAGGAGAAAGAAAGAAAATACTTTCATGTGTTAAAATAGACGAACAATTAAGCATACATTTACCTAGATAATTCACCCTTCTGATACCCAGCTGTACAGGCCGGGAAGGCATACGGGAAGGTCATCCTATAATATGATAAGGAGAGGGGATATTTCTTAACATGCAGAGATCCAGCCAACCATCTCAATACATTACCAGACCCTAGCAATCCTATCCTAAAAGGTATTCGACTTGTGAGGTGGGATAATCGTACAAGAACATAAGTGTGTGTAACGTCGGTATATACCTTACATGTACCGATCAGGGTACATACGGGCATAAGTTTTGGGAAAGAGAAATTAGCAAAACAAATCACATCCTGTTTTAAACCCTCGACATTAATGAACCAAATTAAACAAAAGTCCACTGTCACGATGTCCTTAATCGATTTGAACCCCTGACACTGTCAACCAGTGTTTATAAACACATTGCTGTGACATCTACCAGTGCAATGAAGGTACAGAGGTAGGAAGATTTAGTACTACGCAATATATATTGAACCGCAAAAGAAACGCCACCCCAAGTAACACTGCATGAAAAGTTGTCATTTAAATATCAGGGTAATTTTTGTTAAAGTTTCTAAAATTTAACAAAAATGAAATTTGATAAGAAACAAAGCAGATGACAATAAATCCGATCGCCCAAACGCATCACGGCACCGGCCATGGTAACTCGATGCACGTGAGTTCCGTGCAAATTGAAATGTACAGGCGTTCCCCCATTTCTTGCCCAATCAAAATCCATCCAGATCGGATATCTTTCATTCGTTTTTGAATTGACAAGATTGACAAGAAATCAGCGACACCAAGCCCTTGGACGATTGCAAGCTGGACAAACCGCCCGGCAAGTAGCCAATGCATTTCAAGTCCACGTAAGGACCATATACAGCCTCCAGCAATTGTACCAGACCACCAACACTAAAGATGCCCAACCACGTAGTGGAAGACCAGGGTCTTCAGGATCGTCAGATTGTGCGATAGTGTCTTCAAGATCGTTTTGTTACTGCTGCGGAAACTGCTCGACAGACCTTGGGGACACACCAGCGACACAATATAGTGCGGACACCGTGCGTGGACGATTGACGAGCAGACACTTCCACTATCACAGGCCACACCGAGGACCCCACGTAATCGCCGGAACCGTCTTCAGTGGGCAACACAGCACCAGCATTGGCGCCACCAGCAGTGGAGAAGAGTTACTGTATCTCAACAGCAGATGGCAGAGAGTCTGGCGACGCCATGGGCAACGTTATTCGGATGCTTGTGATGTTGAGAGAGACTCGTGGGGTGGTCCGAGCATCATGGTGTGGGATGGAACTGGTCTTGGTCGGTCCAGGGAGGGGCAATGGTGTTACAGCAGCTCGGTACATAGATCAAGTCTTGAGACCACACGTCAAACCTCATTTGGCACGTCGCCGCAACCATGAGTTTCAGCATGATAACGCCCATGCCCACACTGCGAGGGCAACAAGAGACATCCTCCGGGTCTCAACAAGAGACTTCCTCGAGTCTGGACCAGACAATCCAGTGGTTGATATCATGAGCATCGATCTACACAATTGAGATACGATGACGTGCATCAACCAAGTCAGCGGAACTGACGACCCGATCCCGTTAGTCGCCCCTTACAACAAGCATAGTCGCCTTTTACGGCAAGTATGAGTTGCTGAAGATCTATTCTAAACCGGATCTTACAATCGGAACCCTTAAGAACACTAACATTGGGAAAAAGAGTGTCGGCGTCTCGTTTTGCTGATGTGTGATTGGTCACGTGAACCATGACTAAAGCAAAACACGTGCGGAAACCAATGGAAACAAGAAGCCCGATAAACCCCAGGAACACCATCAAGTAGCGTTTGGGGCAGTCAACGCAGCAGGCCATCGCCATATCTTGACCTGGAAAATATTAAAAAAAATATTCTCGTAATCTGAAACTATCGGTAGATATATACTATGATAAATATTATGTCATTAATATACATCCATTGATCAATTATCACGTTGGACACTTTAAGACATAGGCTGTTAGTGCTGCCATAACTTTGGCGAGCCTCAGATATATTGTAGCTTGTATCTGTGAAAATGTACCCGTGGACTACTAACAGAAATAAAATATATTTTGAGTACGTCAAAATGGCCGGGGCGGGCTAGGTAAAGACTCTGTTTTTAATGTGTATATTATAAGGGTCGAGCGGGACAGATGCTAATTCTGCTTCAACAGTGTACGTCAGGATGGCCGGGGGGTGCACGTATAAATTCTGCTTGTATTGCGTCTGTCAGGATGGCCGGGGCGGGATAGACATACACTCTGCTTGAAGTGCGTCTGTCAGGAGGGTCGGGTCGGGATAGACATACACTCTGCTTGAACTGTGTCTGTCAGGAGGGTCGGGTCGGGATAGACATACACTCTGATTGAGCTGCGTCTGTCAGGATGGCCGGGGCGGGATAACAGACATACACTCTGCTTGAACTGTGTCTGACATGATGGTCGGGGCGGGATAGACATACACTCTGCTTGAACTGTGTGCGTCAGGAAGGTCGGGGCTGGACAGACATACGAGGGGTGTCCCATAAGTTTTCCGCAAAGTAATTTGCGATTTATATAAAAACTGTTTTACTTATTTTTCAACATAATCTCCCTTGACCTCAATGCACTTGTTCCGCCGTTTCTCCAGCATATTTAACCCGTCAAAAAACCACTGTTTGTCACGTGACCCTAAAAACTCCTCTACAGCAGTGATGACCTCCTTATTTTTTCCCAAATCTTCGGCCCCTGAGTACAGATTTGAGTTGAGGGAAGAGGAAGAAGTCAAAGGGGGCCAGATCTGGAGAATAGGCAGGGTGGCAGGATCTTGAAGCCACATTCATGTGCAGCGCTCACTGCTACTTGGGCGGTGTGAACTGGTGCGTTGTCCTGGAGGAGCCAGATTCCTCGGCTTAGTTAACCACTACGCTTTGCTTTGATTTCATTACGCAATCTGCGCAATTCATCTGCATAATATGCACCGTTAATGGTGGAACCCTTCTGTAGATAATCTATTATGATTACGCCCGCGTAGTCCCAGAAAACGGAGGCCATGACCTTGCCACTGGAAGATGTGCTTTTGAACTTTTTGGGTGTTGGTGACGTCACATGCTTCCATTGCATGCTCTGACTTTTTGTCTCAGGTCCCAGGTTTCATCCTGAGTAACAATATGAGCCATGAAAGCACGTGGATCTCTCCGAAAATCTTCCAGAAGCTGTTGACTAATCATGACCCTCTGACGTTTTTGTTCTTCAGTCAACATTCTGGGCACCCAACGGGCTGACACCTTGTTTATGTGTAAATGTTCATGGATTATTCGTTCCACTGATGTTTTACTCATGTCATGTGCAGTAGCTAACTGTCTAACAGTTACTCGTCTGTCCTGCATTATTGTATCAAGAACAGCTGCAACTTCATCTTGGGTAGTCACTTCACAAGGCGACCAGACCGTGGTTCGTCTTCAGTGCTGTGCCTGCCCCTTGTAAATTCAGCACACCACTGTTTGACCGTACTATACGAAGGAGCATTGTCACCTACTGTTTGTACCATGTCATCATGAATTTGCTTTGGCGTTAACATTTTTAAATGTAGATACTTAATAACGACTCTACATTCGGTCTTCTCCATTTTTTCGAAATGTTAGGGGATCATGCTGTTTGATAGCAATTTATAGGAACTTGTAGCACGTGGGATTCATGTTTTGCATGTCATCCACGTGCAGAGATACTGTTCTAGCAAGAGGTGCAGTTTGGTTGAGTTTGGGCTATCCGTTCATGTTGAGACCGGAAACTTATGGGACACCCCTCGTAGGCCTTTCTTGGACTGTTTAGGATGATTGGCTCTTAGTGAACTTCACTGATCACGACTTCCTTGTATTCCGCTGATAATATTACAGATGTCTTCAAATTTCAAACGAATGACCTTATGTGAGATTGTTGTAATTACTTCGTCATGTTACTATTAATATCATTTCCGGAGTGAAGTGTGACACTTGCGGATATTCTCTTCTATCAGTCATCTCTTCCAACACATTGTATCACTACCGCCCGTTACTTCCTTGACGTGAACCACAGGAAGTCAAGCGTGTAGCCGACATATCGTCGCAGTACAGGGCAGTACAGGGCAGTACATGGCTGATGGATTGATCAAGTAATTTGTATAAATCGGGACCAGTCCATGTGCTGTTTCTCTAATACTGAAGTCGTTTCATTGCGAAGGTATTAAAGTTGTGTGTAGTTCATTATTCGGAACATTCGGAAGTTTTTTTCTGGTGGTTATTACAACGGAATTCGACTTGGGCCATAGTTGGATTACGCACGTGTGTTTATATCCACCACGTAGGTTGAAAGTGTTTATATAGCAGTTGATGTCAAAACGATTTGAGAGATGGATAAGTGACATTTTACTGTCACCGAAGTGCCTCGGGTCATAGGGAAGGTGCATGTGGAATATGAATCAAAGAGCCGTGGTAATTCAATAAAATGTTTCTCCAAGCGTCATGTCAATAGCGGTGCCACACATTCCCCAACGTACCTGCTCACAGAATGGCCTAGGATATGTCCAAGGATAACAGAAGGCCGCTACTTGTGTGTATTAGTCCAGAGAAAGCGGTTTGCTCAAGCAATATCTTCCACGATCTACAAGAAGTGTCAGAGGACAAGATTCCGACACAGACAGTTCGGAGACATACTTAAGTATTAACCAAGTATCTAATAACCTTTAAATAACTAAAGATACACATAAGTCACCATCCACATTCACTATGTATCATTGCGTTTTGTGTGCTAGATTATTCACCCAAACAAATGTTACATGCACATACATGTAGATTTTCGATAACAATCAAATATTCTACGCATATTTCTTATCCACACAGTAGAATAGGGCTTATCTTTGCATCAGATATTTTAAAGGTAAACATATTATGTAATATTGCACAAAACTTTAAGATGTTTTTATATGCCTACTAAAATTTTCTTGGCACGCAATGCATTTTTATGTGCATTCTTTGGTTTCTAGATTCGTTACCTCCATTGTCAAAAACTACAACTCTGGTTTTGACCATATTTACAGTAAGCTTCGACACTTCAAAATAACTTTCTGATACATTTATTCGCTTTTGCAAGTTAGTTTCGGATATAGTAGTATACCATTGGTGCAATTATGTTTTAATATGCCAATTCCTTTATGAAAAAGGGAAAAGGAAAAGGTTTAGTATATATCCTTGGCGAACACCGATGTGAGTGAGAGTGAGAGTGAGGGTGAGAGTGAGGGTGAGGGTGAGGGTGAGGGTGGTTTAACGCCGGTTTGAACATTATTCCAGTGATATCACGGCGTGTCAGTTTAATGTTGGAGGGAAGTCCGATGTAACGTAGGTCTTAGACGTCTACCACTTTGGTGAAACCCACGATCACGGGTATGGTGCTGATTAAGCTAGAAGTATGTAAAGGGATTCAAACCCACGATCGTAGGTTTCTTGCGTGCCCAAATCTGCACATTGAATTGCGGCGCCTTAGACGACTGGGCCACCCGTGACCCCACCGATGTTATTCATACAACTTTCCCATATAAGGTCTGTGTTCGAACACATACCTTCACATCTTTATATAGAACACAATAACTTTCCATTTCTGCTAATCCACGCCTTTGAAAGAGGGACCACAACTTGGCTCTTTTTTTACAGGGTCAAAACCTTTTTTCAAAATCTACAAATAATTTCCTGTTACAGATAAACCGATAACACGTAATAAAAATAGGCGTCAGTTTTATTGTTGAACGCATTTCCGCCTTTCCTCGCTTTCAGTGTCTGTTGGGTAACTGGGTCCCACTGACCTTGGACAGTGTTGTTATAGCGGCAGTAGAATATTGTCAATAGTATATGACTATATTGTCAATAGTATATGACTATATTGCCATGCGCCTTGTTCAGATGATTGTGTCAAAACGTATTTCTTCTCTTGCAGTATTGACGACGTTCTAAGATCTGACATAGTTGTAATGTGTAACCAGAAAAGTCATGGCAACAGTTTTTTCGATAGCTTCACTATATAATTCTGATCTGTGTTCTGTAAGAGATAATAGGTCCACTTACCTCGTATCATACAACGGGTAGACAGCGGAGAATTTGGGAGATTTATCTCCCTGGCCCTGGGATCACCCTGTAGAAGATGAACACACTCTTCTCTGCTCATAGCATTGGGCAGCTTTCCGCTTCCCCCAGCGCAGGCGTATCAGTCCACAGACAACCGCGGAAACAGTTGACGACGGAGTGCAGCTGTTTGCAGTAACACTCAGTTCTATTGTGTGTTGTGTGACTACATGTTACAGTGAGATACAGCCTATTGTGTGTTGTGTGACTACATGTTAAAGTGAGACACAGTCTATTGTGTGTTGTGTGACTACATGTTACAGTGAGACACAGCCTATTGTGTGTTGTGTGTCTACATGTTACAGTGAGATACAGCCTATTGTGTGTTGTGTGACTACATGTTACAGTGAGACACAGCCTAGTGTATGTTGTGTGACTACATGTTACAGTGAGATACAGCCTATTGTGTGTTGTGTGACTACATGTTACAGTGAGACACAGCCTATTGTGTGTTGTGTGTCTACATGTTACAGTCAGATGCAGCCTAGTGTATGTTGTGTATCTACATGTTACAGTGAGATACAGCCTAGTGTATGTTGTGTTACTACATGTTACAGTGAGATGCAGTCTATTGTGTGTTGTGTGTCTACATGTAACAGTGAGATACAGCTTAGTGTATGTTGTGTGTCTACATGTTACAGTGAGACACAGCCTATTGCGTGTTGTTTGACTACATGTTACAGTGAGATACAGTCTATTGTGTGTTGTGTGTCTACATGTTACAGTGATACACAGTCTATTGTATGTTGTGTGACTACATGTTACAGTGAGACACAGTCTATTGTGTGTTGTGTGTCTACATGTTACAGTGATACACAGTCTATTGTATGTTGTGTTACTACATGTTACAGTGAGATGCAGTCTATTGTGTGTTGTGTGTCTACATGTAACAGTGAGATACAGCTTAGTGTATGTTGTGTGTCTACATGTTACAGTGAGACACAGCCTATTGCGTGTTGTGTGACTACATGTTACAGTGAGACACAGTCTATTGTGTGTTGTGTGTCTACATGTTACAGTGATACACAGTCTATTGTATGTTGTGTGACTACATGTTACAGTGAGACACAGTCTATTGTGTGTTGTGTGTCTACATGTTACAGTGAGATACAGCCTAGTGTATGTTGTGTGTCTACATGTTACAGTGAGACACAGCCTATTGCGTGTTGTGTGACTACATGTTACAGTGAGATACAGCCTATTGTGTGTTGTGCGTAGACATGTTACAGTGAGACACAGTCTAATGTGTGTTGTGTGACTACATGTTACAGTGAGACACAGCCTATTGCGTGTTGTGTGACTACATGTTACAGTGAGACACAGTCTAATGTGTGTTGTGTGACTACATGTTACAGTGAGATGCAGCCTAGTGTATGTTGTGTTACTACATGTTACAGTGAGATACAGTCTAATGTGTGTTGTGCGTAGACATGTTACAGTGAGACACAGTCTAATGTGTGTTGTGTGACTACATGTTACAGTGAGACACAGTCTAATGTGTGTTGTGTGACTACATGTTACAGTGAGATACAGTCTATTGTGTGTTGTGTGACTACATGTTACAGTGAGATACAGCCTATTGTGTGTTGTGTGACTACATGTTACAGTGAGATACAGCCTATTGTGTGTTGTGTGACTACATGTTACAGTGAGACACAGTCTAATGTGTGTTGTGTGACTACATGTTACAGTGAGACACAGTCTAATGTGTGTTGTGTGACTACATGTTACAGTGAGATACAGCCTATTGTGTGTTGTGTGACTACATGTTACAGTGAGATACAGTCTATTGTGTGTTGTGTGACTACATGTTACAGTGAGACACAGTCTAATGTGTGTTGTGTGACTACATGTTACAGTGAGACACAGTCTAATGTGTGTTGTGTGACTACATGTTACAGTGAGATACAGCCTATTGTGTGTTGTGTGACTACATGTTACAGTGAGACACAGCCTATTGTGTGTTGTGTGACTACATGTTACAGTGAGACACAGTCTATTGTGTGTTGTGTGACTACATGTTACAGTGAGACACAGTCTATTGTGTGTTGTGTGTCTACATGTTACAGTGATACACAGTCTATTGTGTGTTGTGTGACTACATGTTACAGTGAGATACAGCCTATTGCGTGTTGTGTGACTACATGTTACAGTGAGACACAGTCTAATGTGTGTTGTGTGACTACATGTTACAGTGAGACACAGCCTATTGTGTGTTGTGCGTCTACATGTTACAATGAGATGCAGCCTAGTGTATGTTGTGTGTCTACATGGTACAGTGAAATACAGCCTAGTGTATGTTGTGTAACTACATGTTACAGTGAGACACAGTCTATTGTGTGTTGTGTGATTACATGTTACACTGAGACACAGTCTATTGTGTGTCCTGTGACTACATGTTGCAGTGAGATACATAGAGGTTATCACGCGAGTGTGTTTGGGGATGGTTAATATCCTGCATTAGAAATAAACATTGTATTTAGCGAGCCTTGTGTTGTGTGATGGCCATGTCCTGCCCCACAGATGGCATCCGTCACTAACACATGCAAAGGCAAGTCAATTGTTCACCTGAAAAAAAACCCCACAAGTATATGTCTACCACATGTCTACCATAAGACGAATCAGAAAGCCTTGCTGAGGCCTTAAATATTGTAACCTTGATCAAACAACTTTCGAAGAAAAGTCGTGTGACTACGTACAAGTCGGAAAAGCTAGATAAGGTAGCCCAGCAGAAAAAGCGTTCAGTTGTCACGCCGAATGCCTGGGTTCGATTCCCCTCTCGGGTACAATGTATGAATCCCATTTCTTGTGTCCCGCGTCGTATCACTGCCGCAATATTACTGAACTGAACTTTTGTTTTCAATCAGGCTCCAGACAGTATTTACGGAGATTAATGTTTCTATGATGTTTTGGCAAAATTTAGAGTGTTTTCGTGAGGTTCTTATATAGGTGACCGCCTCCGTGGTCTATTGGTAGAGCGTCCGCCCGGAGTCCGAGAGCGGAAGGTCCGGGGTTCGATCCCCGGCCGCGTCATACCAAAAGACGTTAAAAGATGGTACCTGTTGTTACACTGTCTGGCGCTTGGCATTAAGGGGCTAAAACAAGGACTGGTCGGCTCGGAGTCAGTATACTGTGACATTCATGTTAAACTGCCGCATGGTATCTCAGTGAGCTAGCACTATAAATCGGCATCAGTCCGGACTAGTACAAGCAGCCACACAAACACACACACGTACATGCACGTCGCTATATAAGTGCAATAATCTTGGACGCGACGTTAAACCCCATTTCACCATCTAATATAGGTGCTCTGAAATAATTTGATTACTTTAATAATAGTTGGTTTGCAAAAATAATATATGTCAGCATAATTACTTCTTACCTCTTTAAAGTATACACATGCACAAAAGTTAAGCGCCACCATATTCATAGTCTCTTGATTTCACGTGTGGGAATCAGAAATACGAAATATGATGATGTATGACTGAATTAGGCTTCCGTAGTTTCATGAACCCAAATTTGTCCAGATACCACAAGGAAAGCGTGCTTTACTTGTTGCTGCAGTTCCCCTACCCTATAAATAGTGAAATTCAAGTTTCAGACACGTTGTTGCATTTTGCTCCTGTGTGAGATTCCTCTTCCAATAGAGGTTGAAAATCAGCCATGGTGAGGAGAAAGTTAACGAACGCTGAAAGATGGCAAGTGATAGGCATGAAAAATGTTGGCATGTCATGCAGAGCCTATTTCAAGACAAATGGGTCGTCATCACAGTGTTATCACTCGTCAGTCCATTTGCCACTTCAACAGATTTAAGACTGCAGTGGATTACCCACCAAAGACTCTCGACGATGACCGTAAGGCGTCGCCTCAGAGCGGCTGGTTATAACGCCAGAAGACCCGTAAAAAGTCCTCAACTGACTGAGAGGCACGGAATAGTCTGATATAGTATCGTGCCCCTCGGTGGAACTTGGCCAACTGGAGAAGGATCCATCTGTCTGTCGAATGTCGAATGCTGCTACGAACTGCTGATGGTCGAATACATGTTTGGAGGCAACGTAACACTCGTTTTGCACCAAGGAACATCCAGAAGACCTTAGCATGTGGCTGGGGATCTGTCATGATATGGGGTTGTGTTTCCTTCGGCTGCAAACTTCCGCTGGTGACAATTCGTGGAAACCTGAATGGCCAACAATACCAAGATGCCGTTCTTCGTCCAGTGGTAGTCCTTCATTTTGACAACCATCCTCTTCAGACAAGACCTATTTACATGGACGACAATGCTAGACCACACAGATCTCGGGCAGTTTGGGCTTATTTGCGTCAAGAAGCTATTGCCACTCTTCCTTGGCCGGCCTGTAGTCGGGATCTTAATCCGATTGAGCATCTCTGGGACATTCTTGGCCGGAAAATCAGACATCGTGATCCCCCAGTTCAAAATCTCGCTGCACTTGAAGCCGCACTCAGAGAAGCATTCAACGACTTGTAATGAGTATGAGGCGTAGGGTTGAAGCTGTGGTCAATGTCCGTGGATCATACACACGTTACTGACGTTTCTGTCTTGCAATAGACTCTGCACTCCCTAGGGTGTCTATGTGACACCTGATATGGTCTGCTGATATCATGACAGTTACATGACAAAAAAAGTTTTGCAATGTTTTCTAATCCTTCAATTTCTGGTCTTCGGTAAAATTCCTTTCTGCTCATATTCTTTTGGAACACAAGACAAACTTGCTTTGGGACAACTTTTGCATCACATGAGGTTTACATATACGGCTTATAACAATCGTACATCTCGTTATAATAGTCATCATTAAGTGCCAAAAGTAACAGCTCACAAATATGGTGGGTGGCGCTTAAGCTTTGTGCATATGTATATTTACAAAAGAATAATGCAATAAATAAATAATCCCCGTTTACTCCATAGGTTGTCAATATCTGTCGAAGGCTTTCTCAAATCAATGAACGCGCATGATTTTCTTTTTCCGACCTTTGAGAAGTTCAGTTGGAGTGCATAATGTAAAAATACGAGCTACCGTTTGATAGCCTTTTCTAAATCCTGCCTGTGATTCAGATATTATATTATTTTTTCCACAGAAATACCTGACGCGTGATCTGAGTATTGAAAAATCTTCTCTGTGACTTCCAACTACTTTCTGATAAAGTTTGAGATAATCTCCTCAAATTTTCCCCTCCCAGATCCCATGGCATATTAGGTTATTCTTATTCTTATTCTTCATCCTCCCCACCTAATTATGAAAATAGTCAACGCCTTTGTGCATCCATTTATACCACCATGACGATCTTTTTGTAGTCTATTCACGTTCTCTTTTCTTTTTTCTTTGCCTTCTCATACTGAGTACCCATGAAACCAGTACTATCCTCGCCAGTACTTCACCCACTCGCCCGTCCTTAGCCCACACTCTCTACTTTACAACACTACCCGTGAAGATCCCGGGTAGAATAAGTCTTCAGCAACCCATGCTTGTCATAAGAGGCGACTAACGGGATCGGGTAGTCAGGCTCGCTGCATGTCATCATATTCCAATAGCGTGGGTCGATGTCGATTGTCTTGGGCAGACGCGGTTATTTACAAACCGCCGTCATATAGCTGGAATATTACTGAGTGCGGCGTTAAACAACAAACAAACAAACTTTACAACACCGATCATCTTCTCCATGATTCACACAGATTCTCTTCACTCTCTCATGCATCTGGCTCACAAGTGTGTTCAACTCTCTAAACCTCCGCTCCATTTTCCTCTCATTACTACAAAGTGTAATGATAGTTTTGTGCCAATCAGGTGCTTGTTGATTTTGTGAGAGTATTGTGTTAGCAGGGGGACTGTCAGTACCAGATGTAAGTCTTGATGTAGGGTAAGGATAACTCACGCTGTTTAACTGTATGTCGGTATTAGTTGTTGATCAGGTGGACGCCATGTTGATTCGTGTCATTTGTTGATGTCAGGCAGAGTCAATCGTTCAAATCACTTTTGAAATGAACATTAATGTTCAATAAGTTGTATAAAAGTGATCTCGAACCCGTAAATCTGCTTTCCAAATATGCCTTAAGTTCATATCAAGCCGTATATCACGTAAGCATGCTTATGGTTTTACCGAGGTGACACTAACAGCGGCGTAAAAACTCAGACACTGACTCAGTGAAACAAAGAACATATTCATCAGATTTATTTACCAACGATATGTACACAGCCCCACGACAATGGGAGATTTTCACAGACCACTGCTGTTCCATATATACATATAAAAACTCGCACCACCGCCATAACCCCTACAGACCCAACAAACAATTAACTCTCGCTGTGCTTTGTGACTCTCAACATCCCTTAAAACCTCGGTACACGATTTGGGCTGAGTGGTATGTGTGATGCAATACTAGCACAACAATCTGTACAATCCCAACACTCAGTTTATCTCATTCGTATGTAATAATCTACAAAAATATACAAGCATTGCAGTCGTCGTCAAAATTGATAACATTTCACAATAACGCAGTTGTCTAAATAAAATCGGTCAGTTTCTGATAAGGGGTCTTCAATATACTGGTGTATTGAATGACACGTTTGACAACATGGTTGCGACATGTATCTACGTATATATATCAAATAGTATTGAGGAATCTAGTTGTTGAACCATACTCATAACTGTCGGCATCCACAAGCTGAGGTCGATGAAGCCGTAAGCGCCTCCGTAACAGTCTTGTGGTCTCGTAATCATCGTCGTCGTCATTAGCGACTGGTTGAGGAATGGAGACTGACAACGTTGACGAGGACCCTGACCAAGGCTGTCGCTGTCCAGATGCGAAGACAGCGTAGACGATGACGCCACCGAAGTGGATGGAGGCGGCGATGATAAAGAGTCGTTTCCAAGCCGTTTCGATGTCAGCATGGTCAGACTATGGGCAGAGATAGGTACTGTTACAACCAGTTCATATTGCAATAACATAATCATGACGGTTAGAGCTAAAACAATAGCATCTGAAAAAGCATTGTCTTATATGCAGGGATTAAAATTACCACGTGTATTTTCTCGTAAACTAAGCCGGAAATACGATGTCTCACGTTTTCTCCCATTCTATCGTCGATTCAGTTACAAATACCCAATAATAGAACTTCCTGGAATTTGGTTGCAATGGTCGAAATAATTTAAATTGGAAACATTATTATATCACGAATAATATATTCCAATATTGTGTTATTTTAGTTCAGAGACACAGGGGTATTGGGTACATATCCCGCATCGATGGAACCACGGGGGAATGGAGACCTTTCCTGTTTTGAAGGACAACATATTGGGGGCTTATCCAACATCAGAGGACGTAAGGGGTACTGTGGGCTTATCCAACATCAGAGGACATACAGGGGTAGTGGGGGCTTATCTAACATCAGAGAACATACAGGGGTAGTGGGGACTTATCCAACATCAGAGGACATACAGGGTAGTGGGGGCTTATCCAACATCAGAGGACATAAAGGGGTACTTTGGGCTTATCCAGCATCAGAGGACATACAGGGGTAGTGGGGACTTATCCAACATCAGAGGACATACAGGGGTAGTGGGGGCTTATCCAACATCAGAGGACATACAGGGGTAGTGGGGACTTATCCAACATCAGAGGACATACAGGGGTAGTGGGGGCTTATCCAACATCAGAGGACATACAGGGGTAGTGGGGGCTTATCCAACATCAGATGACATACAGGTGTAGTTTGGGCTTATCCAACACCAGAGGACATACAGGGATATCAGGGGCTTATCTAACATCAGAGGACCTACAGGGGTAGTGGGGGCTTATCCAACATTAGAGGACATACAGGGGTAGTGGGGGCTTATCCAACATCAGAGGACATACAGGGGTAGTGGGGGTTTATCCAACATCAGAGTACATACAGGGGTAGTGCGGGCTTATCTAACATCAGACGACATACAGGTGTAGTTGGGGCTTATCCAATATCAGAGGACATACAGGGGTAGTGGGGGCTTATCTAACATCAGAGGACGTACAGGGGTACTGGGGGATTATCCAACATCAGAGGACATACAGGGGTAGTGGGGGCTTATCCAACATCAGAGGACATACAGGGGTACTGGGGGCTTATCAATTATCAGAGGACATACAGGGATAGTGGGGGCTTATCTAACATCAGAGGACATACAGGGGTAATGGGGGCTTATCTAACATCAGAGGACATACAGGGGTAGTGGGGGATTATCCAACATCAGAGGACATACAGGGGTATTTGGGGCGTATCCAACATCAGAGGACATACAGGGGTACTGAGGGCTTATCTAACATCAGAGGACATACAGGGGTAGTGGGGGCTTATCCATTATCAGAAGACATACAGGGGTACTGTAGGCTTATCCAACATCAGAGGACATACAGGGGTACTGGGGGCTTATCAATTATCAGAGGACAAACAGGGCTAGTGGGGGCTTATCCAACATCAGAGGACATATAGGGGTAGTGGGGGCTTATCCAACATCAGAGGACATAAAGGGGTACTGGGGGTTTATCCAACATCAGAAGACATACAGGGGTAGTGGGGGCTTATGCATTATCAGAAGACATACAGGGGTACTGTCGGCTTATCCAACATCTGAAGACAATCAGGGTGCTGAGAAGGACACTGCATCGGAGGACATACGTGTACAGGTGAACTATCATACATCAGAGGACAGGGACACAGGGGTACTGGCGGCCAAAGTTGTGTCACAGGACACAGGGGTACTGGCGGCCTAACTTGTGTCAGAGAAAACAGGGGTACTGGCGGCCTAACTTATATCAGAGGAAACAGGGGTACTGGCGGCCTAACTTGTGTCAGAGGAAACAGGGGTACTGGCGGCCTAATTTGTGTCAGAGGACACAGGGGTACTGGGGACCGGGCTTGTATCAGAGGACACAGAGACACCGGAGGCCTAACTTATATCAGGGGACAAACTTCCCTCGATTCATCTCAAAGAGAATAACAGAGAACCGGGGCCTGAAGGCTGTGGCATCTTAACAAAGGTTGGGGAGTGACAGTATAACTTACGGCCATGTCCCTCACGAAGTAGGCAACTAGGGTGCTGAGGACGGCACCTAGCATCCCCAGTCTAGCCAGACCTGTCACTACGCTGGCATACTTGGGGGCTAGGTCAAGAGGATTCACCTGGTAACCTGATGGGTAAAAAGCAGATATTGATTATTGAATAAAGAATAAATAGACATATGAAAAGACTTGACAAAAATGGGTAGTGTTTGTTTAGCATACTTGGAATTAGAGTGGTGCGTTGGACTTGGCTCTGTTGACCACGCAAAACCTCACAAAACATTCTGGGGATAAATATTAAAATGTCAACATTCTGTTTCCAATTACAGTCTAAACCTATAACAGACACTGCTTGTAATGTCAATAAGTTTTTCCCATTGTGGTCCATTCTTCAAACACACATTCACGTGGGGACAAGACGTTTCACATTGTAGCCCTTCTAAAGGCCTAACATATTTAATATGTGGATATAACGGAAAATTGTTGACATTGATAACAAAAATATTTTTTTCAAAATGAAATATGGCGAAACCTGACATACACTGGGATATTTACGTGGATGTTTTACCTGAGATTGCAAAGCCACTGAATCCGACCCCCACACAGAGTAGAACGAAAGCCTTTTTCCAGTCGTCCATGAACGCGATGGCCATTACACAGGTTGCCTCCACACCGAACCCTGCAACAAGACCCTTCATGTGACCACACAGGCGACAAGGGTAATTACCACACCGAACCCTGCAACAGGACCCTTCATGTGACCACACAGGCGACAAGGGTAATTACCACACCGAACCCTGCAACAGGACCCTTCATGTGACCACACAGGGGACAAGGGTAATTACCACACCGAACCCTGCAACAGGACCCTTCATGTGACCACACAGGGGACAGAGGTAGCTACCGCACCGAACCCTGCAACAGGACCCTTCATGTGACCACACAGGGGACAGGGGTAATTACTACACCGAACCCTGCAAGGGGACCCTTCATGTGACCACACAGGGAACAGGGGTAATTACCACACCGAACCCTGCAACAGGACCCTTCATGTGACCACAAAGGCGACAAGGGTGATTACCACACCGAACCCTGCAACAGGACCCTTCATGTGACCACACAGGCGACAAGGGTAATTACCACACCGAACCCTGCAACAGGACCCTTCATGTGACCACACAGGGGACAGGGGTAATTACCACACCGAACCCTGCAAGAGGACCCTTCATGTGACCACACAGGGAACAGAGGTAGCTACCGCACCGAACCCTGCAACAGGACCCTTCATGTGACCACACAGGGAACAGAGGTAGCTACCGCACCGAACCCTGCAACAGGACCCTTCATGTGACCACACAGGGGACAGGGGTAATTACCACACCGAACCCTGCAAGAGGACCCTTCATGTGACCACATAGGGAACAGAGGTAGCTACCGCACCGAACCCTGCAACAGGACCCTTCATGTGACCACACAGGGAACAGAGGTAGCTACCGCACCGAACCCTGCAACAGGACCTTTCATGTGACCACACAGGGGACAGGGGCAATTACCACACCGAACCCTGCAACAGGACCCTTCATGTGACCACACAGGGGACAAGGGTAATCACTACACCGAACCCTGCAACAGGACCCTTCATGTGACCACACAGGGGACAGGGGTAATTACCACACCGAACCCTGCAACAGGACCCTTCATGTGACCACACAGGGGACATGGGTAATTATCGCACCGAACCCTGCAACAGGACCCTTCATGTGACCACACAGGGGACAGGGATAATTACCACACCGAACCCTGCAACAGGACCCTTCATGTGACCACACAGGGGACAAGGGTAATCACTACACCGAACCCTGCGACAGGACCCTTCATGTGACCACACAGGGGACAAGGGTAATCACTACACCGAACCCTGCAACAGGACCCTTCATGTGACCACACAGGGGACAAGGGTAATCACTACACCGAACCCTGCAACAGGACCCTTCATGTGACCACACATGGGACAGGGGTAATTATCGCACCGAACCCTGCAACTAGACTCTTCATGTGACCACACAGGCGACAGGGATAATTACCACACCGAACCCTGCAACAGGACCCTTTATATGATCTCACTGTTGACAGATATAATTTCCACACCGAACCAAGAAATGGTTCCTTCATGAGCATCGATCTAAGCAATTGGATGAAGTCAGCGATAGTGACCACTAGATCCCGTTAGTCGCCTCTTACGGCAAACATGGGTTGCTGAAGACCTATTCTAACCCGGACCTTCACGGGCCACTTCCTTCATATGACCACACGACTTGAAACTGTTAGCTGGGTTACCTGCAACTTGTTTCTTCATATGATCACACAGGGGATAGGGTTAATTACCACAACAAACCCATTGTACTGTGAGGTAAGTGTGATAGTATTCATAATATCGTGAAGTTTGTTTGGTGGTATTCATGGTATCGTGGGGCCAGTATTTGGTGGTATGAATCGTAGCATGAGGTAGATATTGTGGTATGCACCGTATCGTGTAGTAGGTATGAAGGTATTCATCGTATCGTGACGGAAGCATATAATGGTATCATATCGTGAGGTGAGTGTGGTGGTATGGATCGTAACGCGAGGTAAGTGTGGTGGTATTCATGGTATCGTGAGGTAAGTGTGGTGGTATGGATCGTAACGCGAGGTAAGTGTGGTGGTATTCATGGTATCGTGGGGTAAGTGTGGTGGTATGGATCGTAACGCGAGGTAAGTGTGGTGGTATTCATGGTATCGCGAGGTAAGTGTGGTGGTATGGATCGTAACGCGAGGTAAGTGTGGTGGTATTCATGGTATCGTGGGGTAAGTGTGGTGGTATGGATCGTAACGCGAGGTAAGTGTGGTGGTATTCATGGTATCGTGGGGTAAGTGTGGTGGTATGGATCGTAACGCGAGGTAAGTGTGGTGGTATTCATGGTTTCGCGAGGTAAGAAGTATTGTGGTATGTATCGTATTAAAGAAACGTCTTATGCCATTCACGTACTTCTGGGCTTCACCATGCATCAAGTGGGATATCCTACCGTTAGAAAGCTGACACGCCCGTGAAATAACTGACATACTGGTAAATGCGCCGTTAAATTAAAACGATTCACGCACTCACTGAAATGTGGTTATTGCTTGTTGAGACAGCGGCGTTTTTGGGAACGGGGATTCACGGAGTTGTACGCACGGCCTATGCCTGAGACATGGTGGGTGGTGACAAATCAGTGACCTACCAACTGATTCCGAGAGCTTCCTGGCTACCGTTGTAGAAAATAGGCCTCGTCTGATTAAGTTGTCTACTACAACACCGCCCGTTATCACCACAATTGTCATCAGGACGTGGGGTACAGCCGACAGAAACCCGATCTGAAACACGTGTACACATCACAACATGAACACAGTAAACAGTAAACACAGCAGTGGCAGCGAGAGTAAGCACAGCAGTGACAGTAAACACAGCAGTGACAGTGACAGTAAACACAGCAGTGTCAGTAAGTACCGCAGTGACAGTAAACACAGCAGTGTCAGTAAGTACCGCAGTGTCAGTAAACACAGCAGTGTCAGTAAGTACCGCGGTGACAGTAAACACAGCAGTGTCAGTAAGTACCGCAGTGTCAGTAAACACAGCAGTGTCAGTAAGTACCGCAGTGACAGTAAACACATCAGTGTCAGTAAGTACCGCAGTGACAGTAAGCACAACAGTGACAGTAAGCACAGCAGTGACAGTAAGCACAACAGTGACAGTAAGCACAGCAGTTACAGTAAACACAACATTGACAGTAAGCACAGCACCGACATTGACAGTAAGCACAGCAGTGACAGTGACAGTAAGCACAGCAGTGACAGTGACAGTAAGCACAGCAGTGACAGTGACGGTAAGCACAGCAGTGTCAGTGCCAGTACCGTCGGTGACATCGAACTGCAGTAGACGATATATTACCTCCATTAACTGATTTTCAAATGAGATGAAGCTGGTATGTATAGATATGTAAATGTACCCTATCAGTGATTAAGTATCTATATGTCCAACATTTCGTGACGAATTATTGTCCCATTCCAATATGTACATGTATGAGCCTGTTCAAGTGTGAGTGTTGTTGCATCTTTTTGTCGGTTGTATCAAGTATTTGGGCATTAACACTATACTAAATAAACAAACCTATTACACGTTATAAGTGAGAAACTGAATAAGTCGTATTCACGGAATACATGTGGTTAATGTGGGCAAACGGAAAGCTTTCATCAGCCTTGGGCATACTTACTTCAGCTGTTGGTATATTTAAATCAGCTGTGAAGGCCGGGTAGCCTAGTGGTTAAAGCGTTCGCTCGTCACGCCGAAGACCCTGGTTCGATTCCTGACATGGGTACAATGTGTGAAGCCATTTTCTGGTGTCCCCCGCCGTGCGGGCATACTTACATCAGCTGTGGGCAAACTTACTTTAACTATGGACATACCTACATCAGCTGTGGGCATACTTACATCAGCTGAGGGCATACTTACATAAGCTGTGGGTATACCTGATAAGTTTTGGGCAAACTTACTTTTACTACAGACATACTTACATCAGCTGTGGGTATACCTGATAACCCTTATGCAAACTTACTTTTACTACGGACATACTTACTTCAGCTGTGGTCATGTGGAACACCTCTTTGAAGTACTGGGGTTGCTGTGTTATCAACATTGAGAAGATCCAGTTCCGACAGAAGGCGCCGACAATGATGGCGTACACGGGAAGTGACGTCAGGATACCCCTCCACGGAATAATCTCCTCCTACAAGATTGAGACGGAATAAATGAAACACTACCCGTTCTTTTTCAATTACTCATAACTTATAATAGGCGACACAATATAAAGGACCGCCTCTGTGGTCTGGTGGTAGAGCGTCTGCCTGGAGAGCGGAAGGTTAAGGGTTCGATCCCCAGCTGCGTCATACGATAAGACGTTAAAAGATAGAACTACTTGTAACCCTGTCAGGCGCTGGGCATCAACGGGCTAAAACAAGGAGTGGCCAGATCGGAGTCAGTTTACTGTGTCTGAGTGGGGCATTCATGTTAAACTGCGGTATGGTATCTCGGTGGACTTTCACTGGCATTGTAAACCGATGTAAACCGGCATTAGTCCGGGCGAGTAAAAGCAGCCACGTGCACGCGCGTGCATGCTCGTCGCTGTATAAGTGCAATTATCTTGAACGCAATGTTAAACCACATTTCACCTCACCTCACCTCAAAACTAAAGGGACTTTATAATGAATGCGTAAGTTTGTCATTAGCCAACGTCTGTTGTCACACCTTCATATTATGGCCCTGAGTGAGTGAGTATGGTTTTACGCCGCTTTAAGCAATATTCCAGCAATATCACGGCGGGGGACACCAGAAATGGGCTTCAAACATTGTACCCATGTCGGAAATCGAACGCTTTAACCACTAGGCTACCCGACCACCCTGGCCCTCAATGAAGAATTGTTGAAACATAACAAACACACGGTTTGTAATCGATGAGACATCGAGGAAAGCGTTGTGTGTCATTGTGGATGTGGGTTGTACAGACGTTTGTAGTTTGCTGACGTCTTGTTGATTTAATACACAGATTGGTGCCGTACCTCCGCCTCAGGGCTGTTAATGGCGACGTGGTCCGTGTTGAACAGTCCTCTCTCACGCTCCCCCAGTCTAGGGTGAAGTGTCGGCTTGTCATAGACACAGGCCATCCAGACCAGTGACCATACCGCACCACACGCACCTGCAGGGCCAGGGCAAAAAACAGTTGATATGATGAAATAGGTACAAACAATTTGAACATAATTTAATGTATTTCAAATATAGCCCCACAATTACCAAGACGTAAGTAGACACGTACCGTAGATGTAGATGATGCTGTTCCAGCTGACGTAGCAGGAACAAGCGCCCGTTGTGATGAGGCCGATGGCGGGGCTGATGTATGCACCTGCATTGTGAAATTTCCAGTGGAGCTAACAGCATGTCAATTGTGAAAGGCATTACTTAGAAGTTGACGGATGACAAGGTAGACACTTTATGGATAACAACTTCTTTAATTACTGTAAAGGCGATGTTTCGGTATAGATCAATATGCCGTTGTCAAACAAGACAGTTTTGCTTGACAACGGCATAGGGATCTATACCGAAACGTCGCCTTTACAGTAATTAAAGAAGTTGTTATCCATACATTGTGTCTACTTTATAACAGCATATCGTTTGCTCATTAAGTCAACTTTAAATGTTTAATGTCAATTGTTTATAAAAAAAACAATAATATTTATAACACACAATAAATGTGTGAAAATACTTGGATATTAGTATATGCTTACACATCGAACGCATAAAAATAAAATATTACAATATTACTAAGTTGTATGCTATTGTTACACGTTTGTTACAGTAAATGAACTGACATATGGGTCTGTAAATAATCGAGTCTGGACTAGACAATCCAGTGACTGATATCATGAGCATCGATCCACACAATTGGGACCGATGACATGCATCAACCAACAAACTGACCACCAGATCCCGTTAGTCGCCTCTTACAACAAGCATGGGTTGCTGAAGACCTATTCTACCCCGGATCTTCACGGGTTACTGGAAGAGTAGAGTTGCAATATTGCTACATAGTGTAACATAGTGTTACATAGTGTTACAGTACATATTTGCATTATGAGCTAGTCATCCAGCATTCGTGTACAGTACTGGTACATTTTCTTACGCGATTTTACAATATACTCTCCAGAATAAAAGGGTATATATTTGGAATAGATGATTACTGAAATACAAAGAGGAATCGACATGTTGACGGTGCATTGTAAGGGTAAACAACCAAGACAGACGACAGGGTGTGTAGTCAAAACTTGAACGTCTTAGATAAACTGATGAATAATGGATCATGCCGCCCGATCATGTCTCGACTATGCTGTCTAGTGACCATTCCATGGAGGATATGCGGTGGCGTTCTGGCAGCCTTTGTGATCCCAACCAATGTCACCCGTGAATATTCCGGGGTAGAATAGGTCTTCAGCAACCCATGCTTGCCGTAATATAAAAGGAGACTATGCTTGTCGTAAAAGGCGACTAACGGGATCGGGTGGTCAGGCTCGCTGACTTGGTTGATGCATATCATCGATCCCAATTGCGTGGATCGATGCTTTTGGTATTAATCACTGGATTGTCTGGTCCAGACTCGATTATTTACAGACCGCCGTCATAAAGCTGGAATATTGCTGAGTGCGGCGTTAAACAACAAACCAACCATGACAGACATTCCCCTCCTTCAAATCTGTCATGTTGTCTTGATTACGTTTTCGTTCGCATGACGTTCGTTAGGATGCCTCAAAACACTCAGAATTTGGATCATCAACAAACATTACACGAAACCATCGACAGTTCCCCCAGTCTGTACGCTCTAAACACCATTGGCATCTAAGTAGAATGTGTCGATTTGTTAACGGTAGTAAACATGTTGTCGCCGAACATGCAGATTAGTATCCCTGGCTTTAGTCAACATCGATTTGAGTGGCTGTTTGGCCTCGAGTTCGTAAAGCCTGTTTTTTGATTAATCGATCCAGGACTTGACACGTAACATCTAACATGTGTCTGTGTTTATGTGTGTGTGTGTACGTGCGGGCGTGCGGGCGTGCTGGCGTGCGGGCGTATGTACTATTATTGTTAACAATTAGAGCACTTACCAGCGTATGCTATGGTTATCATCCGACTTCTCTCCGTTTTGGGGGCCCAGGCAGATATGACGCCATTCAGAGCAGGCACCGAGCAGCCCTGAAACACAGTCACATGTAGATATTACTATGTATCATAAGCCAGACATATCAGTATTGAGTTCATTATGTTCCACATAAAAATTACAGTGAAAGTATCAATCTGTTCCACAGACAAATGGTTTCTATTATTTCAAAGAACTGGCTTATATTCAAGGCCAGGGTTGTACTCCAAATGTCTTCAGGGAGCATGGGTGGCCCAGTCGTCTGAGGCGCCGCAAGCCGCTGTGCAGAGTTGTGTCCCTGGAACATGCCAGAAATCTATGATTGTGGGTTCGAATCCCGGTTCACCCCGATTATGTTTCTAGGTTTGTCAGCACCATACCCGTGCTCGTGGGTTTCACTGAAGTGGTAAACGTCTAAAACCTGCATCACTTCGGGCTTTCCTCCCACATTAAGCTGATACGCCGTGATAAAACTAGAATACTGTTAAAAGGTGCGTTAAACCCATCTCACTCACTCAAATGTCTTCCTTAAAGTGCATATGCGCAATGGTAGCGAAAAAATTACCAGTGATTAGAGGAATATTGTGTTTATGGCGAAACGTGTCATGTTTGATTTCTCGCACATTACAACTAGTTTCTTACCTGATACTAGTATTTGCTTGGTCGCCTGACACCATGCGTATAATTTTAGGTCCGGCCCTGATGACATACACAGCTGTGTGACGACAACCTACCTCGGCTAGGCCCTGGAGGACCCTGATGACATACACAGCTGTGTGACGACAACCTACCTCGGCTAGACCCTGGAGAACCCTAAAGACACACACACAGCTGTGTGGCGACAACCTACCTCGGCTAGACCCTGGAGGAACCTGATGACATACACAGCTGTGTGACGACAACCTACCTCGGCTAGGCCCTGGAGGACCCTGATGACATACACAGCTGTGTGACGACAACCTACCTCGGCTAGACCCTGGAGGACCCTGATGACATACACAGCTGTGTGACGACAACCTACCTCGGCTAGACCCTGGAGGACCCTGATGACATACACATCTGTGTGACGACAACCTACCTCGGCTAGGCCCTGGAGGACCCTGATGACATACACAGCTGTGTGACGACAACCTACCTCGGCTAGACCCTGGAGGACCCTGATGACATACACAGCTATGTGACGACAACCTACCTCGGCTAGACCCTGGAGGACCCTGATGACATACACAGCTGTGTGACGACAACCTACCTCGGCTAGGCCCTGGAGGACCCTGATGACATACACAGCTGTGTGACGACAACCTACCTCGGCTAGACCCTGGAGGACCCTGATGACATACACATCTGTGTGACGACAACCTACCTCGGCTAGGCCCTGGAGGACCCTGATGACATACACAGCTGTGTGACGACAACCTACCTCGGCTAGACCCTGGAGGACCCTGATGACATACACAGCTGTGTGACGACAACCTACCTCGGCTAGACCCTGGAGGACCCTGATGACATACACAGCTGTGTGACGACAACCTACCTCGGCTAGACCCTGGAGGACCGTGATGACATACACAGCTGTGTGACGACAACCTACCTCGGCTAGACCCTGGAGGACCGTGATGACATACACAGCTGTGTGACGACAACCTACCTCGGTTGGGCCCTGGAGGACCCTTATGACATACACAGCTGTGTGACGACAACCTACCTCGGCTAGGCCCTGGAGAACCCTGATGACACACACATCTGTGTGACGACAACCTACCTCGGCTAGACCCTGGAGGACCCTGATGACATACACAGCTGTGTGACGACAACCTACCTCGGCTAGGCCCTGGAGGACCCTGATGACATACACAGCTGTGTGAGGACAACCTACCTCGGCTAGGCCCTGGAGGACCCTGATGACATACACAGCTGTGTGACGACAACCTACATCGGCTAGACCCTGGAGGACCCTGATGACATACACAGCTGTGTGACGACAACCTACCTCGGCTAGACCCTGGAGGACCATGATGACATACACAGCTGTGTGACGACAACCTACCTCGGCTAGACCCTGGAGGACCCTGATGACATACACATCTGTGTGACGACAACCTACCTCGGCTAGACCCTGGAGGACCATGATGACATACACAGCTGTGTGACGACAACCTACCTCGGCTAGGCCCTGGAGGACCCTGATGACACACACATCTGTGTGACGACAACCTACCTCGGCTAGGCCCTGGAGGACCCTGATGACATACACAGCTATGTGACGACAACCTACCTCGGCTAGACCCTGGAGAACCCTGATGACACACACACAGCTGTGTGACGACAACCTACCTCGGCTAGACCCTGGAGGACCCTGATGACATACACAGCTGTGTGACGACAACCTACCTCGGCTAGGCCCTGGAGGACCCTGATGACATACACAGCTGTGTGACGACAACCTACCTCGGCTAGACCCTGGAGAACCCTAAAGACACACACACAGCTGTGTGGCGACAACCTACCTCGGCTAGACCCTGGAGGAACCTGATGACATACACAGCTGTGTGACGACAACCTACCTCGGCTAGGCCCTGGAGGACCCTGATGACATACACAGGTGTGTGACGACAACCTACCTCGGCATGGCCCTGGAGGACCCTGATGACATACACAGCTGTGTGACGACAACCTACCTCGGTTGGGCCCTGGAGGACCCTTATGATATACACAGCTGTGTGACGACAACCTACCTCGGCTAGGCCCTGGAGAACCCTGATGACACACACATCTGTGTGACGACAACCTACCTCGGCTAGACCCTGGAGGACGCTGATGACATACACAGCTGTGTGACGACAACCTACCTCGGCTAGGCCCTGGAGGACCCTGATGACATACACAGCTATGTGACTACAACCTACCTCGGCTAGGCCCTGGAGGACCCTGATGACACACACATCTGTGTGACGACAACCTACCTCGGCTAGGCCCTGGAGGACCCTGATGACATACACAGCTATGTGACGACAACCGACCTCGGCTAGACCCTGGAGGACCCTGATGACATACACAGCTGTGTGACGACAACCTACCTCGGCTAGGCCCTGGAGGACCCTGATGACATACACAGCCGTGTGACGACAACCTACCTCGGCTAGACCCTGGAGGACCCTGATGACATACACAGCCGTGTGACGACAACCTACCTCGGCTAGACCCTGGAGGACCCTGATGACATACACAGCTGTGTGACGACAACCTACCTCGGCTAGACCCTGGAGGACCCTGATGACATATACAGCTGTGTGACGACAACCTACCTCGGCTAGGCCCTGGAGGACCCTGATGACATATACAGCTGTGTGACGACAACCTACCTCGGCTAGACCCTGGAGGACCCTGATGACATATACAGCTGTGTGACGACAACCTACCTCGGCTAGACCCTGGAGGACCCTGATGACATACACAGCTGGGAGGTTGTACTTGATGGCCGTGGGAAGCACCAGGAACAGCACACTGCTCACCGCAATACTCAGTCCACACACCCTGGGAGAGGAGGAGACAATGTGAAATGATACGCCCGGTGAAAGGGGAAAACAATGTACGACTAGAAACGACCAGAAACCGCCTCCCCTCCTTTTTTGGATACATTATTTCAAGTTGTTACTGTCAATGTGTTTGTAAACAATACTAGCAAATTATCGTCTGGAAAGATCATGGTTTCATGCAGAAATATACATTAGTTGTAGAGTTTTGGCGTGAAAAGACGCTATTTGTTTGAGACTTAGTCCAAATAGTTTCCATGGATACACAAATTAAAATTTAAAAAAAAGAAATTTGTATGATATGAAAAGGCAAAAGTTTATGCAAAGATTGTTTGACAGGGCCATGGCTCGGAAACGAAGCCTAGAATTGTTTGTCCATGGAAACATAAAAATTACATTTTTGACAAATGTCAAACAAGATAAAGGAACCAGTTAAGCTGACAAATGAATATGTGAAGGTTGTCAAATTATGGCTCGGAATAGGACGGGAACACGGACGCCGACACTAATGGGAGCCGAACCAAAAACAAGGACATAAATCACACAATGAAAAAAAAAATGTAAGAAATTGATTGTCATAATCGCAAGACATTACAGAACAATGAGAATTCTTTCTAGATAATTCCTGTTGTTACCGGAAGTGGGTTTATGAACATGAACCTCATTCTGCCATCATCAAGGCAGGTTATCAGAGAAGCAAGATGGCGCAGGTTTCTGTTTCTCTTACTGTGGCTGTTGTATAGTGTTTTATCTGTATCATCTTGTAGTGGCTTGTTTATGCATACAAGCTGTATGTATTCAGTTCCGACAATGTACATCAGTGATGCAGGTGATGGTGCAGCAGTGACCCGCTTGACGAGTTGTACCACCGCGACTGTATGTCCAACTACCACTGTTGAAGGATACAACTTACCATTTAGAGGAGTATCTGGTAGTCAGAATACCGCCAGGTATCTGAGTGACTAGACCGGCATTGTTGAGGGATACAACTTACCACTTACAGGAGCATCTGGTAGTCAGAATACCGCCAGGTATCTGAGTGACGAGACCCCCATTGCTGAAGGATACCACTTACCACTTAGAGGAGTATCTGGTAGTCAGAATACCGCCAGGCATCTGAGTGACTAGACAGGCATTGTTAAAGGTTACAACTTACCATTTAGAGGAGTATCTGGTAGTCAGAATACCGCCAGGCATCTGAGTGACTAGACAGGCATTGTTAAAGGTTACAACTTACCATTTAGAGGAGTATCTGGTAGCCAGAATACCGCCAGGAATCTGAGTGACTAGACAGGCATTGTTAAAGGTTACAACTTACCATTTAGAGGAGTATCTGGTAGCCAGAATACCGCCAGGAATCTGAGTGACTAGACAGGCATTGTTAAAGGTTACAACTTACCATTTAGAGGAGTATCTGGTAGCCAGAATACCGCCAGGAATCTGAGTGACTAGACAGGCATTGTTAAAGGTTACAACTTACCATTTAGAGGAGTATCTGGTAGCCAGAATACCGCCAGGAATCTGAGTGACTAGACAGGCATTGTTAAAGGTTACAACTTACCATTTAGAGGAGTATCTGGTAGTCAGAATACCGCCAGGTATCTGAGTGACTAGACCGGCATTGTTGAGGGATACAACTTACCATTTAGAGGAGTATCTGGTAGTCAGAATACCGCCTGGTATCTGAGTGACTAGACCGCCATTGTTGAAGGATACAACTTACCACTTAGAGGAGTATCTGGTAGCCAGAATACCGCCAGGTATCTGAGTGACTAGACCGCCATTGTTCAAGGATACAACTTACCACTTACAGGAGTATCTGGTAGTCAGAATACCGCCAGGTATCTGAGTGACGAGACCCCCATTGCTGAAGGATACAACTTACCACCTAGAGGAGTATTTGGTAGTCAGAATACCGCCAGGTATCTGAGTGACTACACCGCCATTGTCAAAGGATACAACTTACCACTTTGAGGAGTATCTGGTAGTCAGAATACCGCCTGGTATCTGAGTGACGAGACCGCCATTGTCAAAGGACACAACTTACCACTTTCAGGAGTATCTGGTAGCCAGAATACCGCCAGGTATCTGAGTGACTAGACCGCCATTGTTGAAGGATACAACTTACCACTTAGAGGAGTATCTGGTAGCCAGAATACCGCCAGGTATCTGAGTGACTAGACCGCCATTGTTCAAGGATACAACTTACCACTTAGAGGAGTATTTGGTAGCCAGAATACCGCCAGGTATCTGAGTGACGAGACCGCCATTGTCAAAGGATACAACTTACAACTTAGAGGAGTATCTGGTAGCCAGAATACCGCCAGGTATCTGAGTGACGAGACCGCCATTGTCAAAGGACACAACTTACCACTTTGAGGAGTATCTGGTAGCCAGAATACCGCCAGGTATCTGAGTGACTACACCGCCATTGTTGAAGGATACAACTTACCACTTAGAGGAGTATCTGGTAGTCAGAATACCGCCTGGTATCTGAGTGACGAGACCGCCATTGTCAAAGGATACAACCTACCACTTAGAGGAGTATTTGGTAGCCAGAATACCGCCTGGTATCTGAGTGACGAGACCGCCATTGTCAAAGGATACAACCTACCACTTAGAGGAGTATCTGGTAGTCAGAATACCGCCAGGTATCTGAGTGACGAGACCGCCATTGTCAAAGGACACAACTTACCACTTTCAGGAGTATCTGGTAGCCAGAATACCGCCAGGTATCTGAGTGACTAGACCGCCATTGTTGAAGGATACAACTTACCACTTAGAGGAGTATCTGGTAGCCAGAATACCGCCAGGTATCTGAGTGACTAGACCGCCATTGTTCAAGGATACAACTTACCACTTAGAGGAGTATTTGGTAGCCAGAATACCGCCAGGTATCTGAGTGACGAGACCGCCATTGTCAAAGGATACAACTTACAACTTAGAGGAGTATCTGGTAGCCAGAATACCGCCAGGTATCTGAGTGACGAGACCGCCATTGTCAAAGGACACAACTTACCACTTTGAGGAGTATCTGGTAGCCAGAATACCGCCAGGTATCTGAGTGACTACACCGCCATTGTTGAAGGATACAACTTACCACTTAGAGGAGTATCTGGTAGTCAGAATACCGCCTGGTATCTGAGTGACGAGACCGCCATTGTCAAAGGATACAACCTACCACTTAGAGGAGTATTTGGTAGCCAGAATACCGCCTGGTATCTGAGTGACGAGACCGCCATTGTCAAAGGATACAACCTACCACTTAGAGGAGTATTTGGTAGTCAGAATACCGCCAGGTATCTGAGTGACGAGACCGCCATTGTCAAAGGATACAACTTACCACTTAGAGGAGTATTTGGTAGCCAGAATACCGCCTGGTATCTGAGTGACTAGACCCCCATTGTCAAAGGATACAACATACCATTTAGAGGAGTATCTGGTAGTCAGAATTCCGCCAGGTAACTGAGTGACTAGACCTGCATTGTCAAAGGATACAACTTACCATTTAGATGAGTATCTGGTAGTCAGAATACCGCCTGGTATCTGAGTGACGAGACCGCCATTGTTGAAGGATACAACTTACCACTTAGAGGAGTATTTGGTAGCCAGAATACCGCCTGGTATCTGAGTGACGAGACCGCCATTGTTGAAGGATACAACTTACCACTTAGAGGAGTATCTGGTAGCCAGAATACCGCCAGGTATCTGAGTGACGAGACCGCCATTGTTGAAGGATACAACTTACCACTTAGAGGAGTATTTGGTAGCCAGAATACCGCCTGGTATCTGAGTTACGAAGCCACCACAGTAGAATACAGTATGCAAAAGGAACACGTGACTTGGATCTATGTTCAGCTGCAGGTCTCGAGAGGTGCCTGTTGTTGTGCACTGTCACGGAGAATAAAGAATATCCGTAGGAGTTATGAAAGAACTGAACAAAAATATGTAAATATGTGTTTTAATTACCAGATATAACATATTTACGACAACCAGCATGACAGAGAATATGCCATACCTTAGAAACAGGGAATATTTCTTACCATCTTGCCAACGTCAATACATTACTCGACCCAACCATACACATCCGCAACTGTAACGCATTTGTCAGTATTAGAGGTAATGGTAAAAGTCTCCTACAACCTGTGTATCATTTGAGTGAGTGAGTGAGCATAGTTTTACGCCGCTTTTAGGGGGACACCAGAAATGGGCTTCACACATTGTACTCATGTGGGGAATCGAACCCGGGTCTTCGGCGTGACGCGCGAACGCTTTGACCACTAGGCTGCCCGACCGCCCCTGTATCATTTGAACAGAGCCCGACCACTCCATCCCGTTAGTCGCAACTTACGACAAGCAAGGGTTGCTGAAGACTAATGCTAACCCGGATCTTCACGGGTTTCTAGATCAGTAGTCATGCATTCTAACAATTGGACCACAGAACTGGTAAAATATATGTGGTTCATTAGAAGGTGCCACGTTCAGCGAATATTTCCTAGACAGAAAAATTATACGAGCGTTTCTTTTGACTGCCGTAACGCAATTTTATTCATAATATTGAACAAATATTAACAAAAGTTATTTCTACGGTTCATAAGTCGGATAAAGCACTCCTCATTGGTTACGATAGTAAAGCCTTCGATCACTGCTTCCCTCAGTTTGTACTACGTCAATCAAAATGATGCATCATTGTTTTATCTCTAAATAAATATCGCAGCCCTTCTGAACACTTACATTGCGAAACAAGGAATCATCCTCACGTTCTGCTGATGTGTGATTGGTCACGTGAACCATGACTAAAGCAAAACATGTGCGGAAACCAATGGAAACAAGAAGCCCGATAAACCCCAGGAACACCACCAAGTAGCGTTTGGGGCAGTCAACGCAGCAGGCCATCGCAATCTCTTGACCTGGAAAAACACTCACATTATGTAAGGACATCATGTCATAAACATCCGGAAACAATGACGTGTACTGTATATATAGCTGTCTTGAAGAAAGTTAGGTAAGACCGCAGTGCAGTTATACCGATGTCGTGAACGACAGATCAACATCTCGGCATTTGTTTGTGGAAGACCGCCTCTGTGGTCCAGTGGTAGAGCGTCCGCCCGGAGCGGAAGGTTCGGGGTTCGATCCCCGGCCGCGTCATACCAAAAGACGATAAAAGATGGTACTTGTTGTTAACCTGTCTTGCGCTTGGCATTAAGGGTCTAAAACAAGGACTGATCGGCTCGGAGTCCGTAAACTGTATCTGAATGGAGTATTCATGTTAAACTGCGGCATTGTATCTCAGTGAGCTAGCACAAGCAGCCACACACACAAACACATACATGCACATCGCTATATAAGTGCAATAATCTTGGACGCGACGTTAAACCCAATTTCACCTCACCTCACCTCACCTCACCTCACCTCACCTCACCTCACCTTGTTTATGGAAACATTCTGGAGAACGGAATACCATCTACATACTCCTGTCATGTAAGACAAACAGGTGCCTTTGGTGACACGAAATTAATTCGATTACCATCTTTTGATATATGTCAACTCCGATAATTAAGATAATATGACCAACGTGTCTTGTCTACCAACACAAACATGTGTTTCAGTCGAAATACGTTTGTGATATGATATTAATAATTGAACAAAACAATCTAATATTCGACACCATTATCAGCAATTCAGTAAATCAATACAAATAATATCCCTGGTGTTATCCCTTTAACTCATTCATGATTCATAAATCGAGTTTAATTTCTGTAACACGTCCGCCACGATGGTCGGAGCAGGACAGGTTGTGAGTGAGTGGTTTTAACAGTATTCCAGTTATATCGCGGCGTGCCAGCTTAATGTGGGAGGAAAGCGGGGTGATGCAGGTCTCAGACGTTTACCACTTCGGTGAAACCCACGAGCACGGGTAAGGTGCTGACAAACCTAGAAACATAATCGGGGCGAACCGGGATTCGAAGCAACAATCATAGGTTTCTGTCGTGCCCAAAGGACGCAACTCTGCACAGAGAATCGCGGCGCCTTAGACGACTGGGCCACCCGTGCCCCTGGACAGGTTTTGAACGGTGTATGGGAGGGTGTTGTGCGGGACAGGTACAGCCTCACTTTGTACGTCGTCATGGTGTCTGGTAAGGGACAAGTATAAACTCTGCCTGAACTGTGCCGGATCTAAGTGAGGAATACGTATCGGTTTTGACTTTTTCCATGGGTGTCGCTGACAGTGTTACTAATGACATCAAATATATATATATATATATAGATAGATAGATATAGATATATATATATATGTGTGTGTGTGTGTGTGTGTGTGTGTGTGTGTGTGGAATGTGACTGTTGTACTTGGCAAGTGATGGCATTGTTTCAGTTTGACTGTAATTAATTTATTACCACGATTTGAAGATATAGATGTCCTGTTCTATTTCGCCATATACCTCAGAATACTTCTAGCCCTACTTCCCCCTTCCGTGATTATAACTTCCGGTAACGCCATCCCATTGTTCTATTCGGGGTTTTCTTATTTGAGTAAGTTGGACTTAATCACCTTGAATACTTGAATACATTGGGAGGGCTCACTTCCGAAGTAAGACCTGCTTTGAGGTTTTGCTTTTTAGATTTTTCCTTTAAATCATAAGTAAGACCTGCTTTGAGATTTTATTTTTGAACTACACATGTATATCAATTCATTTGCATCTAATGTTGAGTTTGGACTGATTAAAGTTAACATATGCGAAGCATCATACATTTGTGGTGAATATGACATACAGGAACATCATCTTAATATAATGTATTCCTTGCTAAAGCGGTTTGACTCGGGTCATTAAAGCGGGATAGTTTGAGGTCATACAATTACGGATTTAGTATGTAAGGTTAAAACACTATTCCCATGGCTTGGTTGAGTATATAAACACGAGGGAAAGGGGACATCACACGGTCCGACGGCCGCTGTGAGAGGAAGGGTGGGAAAACGAATTCGAGAAAAAGAGGTTTACATTCTAAGCCAAATCCATGGGACAATGTTTTATCTGTGTTGAAAGCCGAAAGAATTTGACACAAGTATCAACAATTGTATGTTTCGAACACACTTCAATGAAACCTTAGGGGCGGTCGGGTAGCCTAGTGGTTAAAGCGTTCGCTCGTCACGCCGAAGACCCGGGTTCGATTCCCGACATGGGTACAATGTGTGAAGCCCATTTCTGGTGTCCCCCGTCGTGATATTGCTGTAATATTGCTAAAAGCGGCATAAAACCATACTCACTCACTCACTCACTCAATGAAACCTTAGGAAACGGGCGTAAAATATATCTTGCTGGCATACGTGTATTGAACTACATCACTTGGCATACACCATTCAGGATATACCCTGAAGTTAGAATTGTAATGTGTCAAATGGATTGTGTTCAAATGAAATATAAATATCATAAATCAGATTTTCTGTTGAATATACCTGATCAGCTAGGCTTTCTATTGAATATCCCCGGGGCAGGGAGTCTTTCTGTTGAATATCTCTGAGGCAGGGAGTCTCTGTTGAATATCCCTCGGGCAGGAAGTCTTTCTGTTGAATATCCCTCGGGCAGTGGGGTTTTCTATATAACGCCCCTTCTTAGAACAATAGGATGACGTCACTAGATGTTTATAACCACCAGTATTACAATCATGAATCTGTTTGATAACATCACAGCTCTGGATAAAAGGCAAGTTCAAATCCAGCTTGTAACAGTCAGTAAGCATTTACGTGTAGATTTAGGTGTGATGTCACTCAAGGTAACAGTAAACCGGGCATGTGACAGAAACACTTTCGCGTGCATGATTCGAAACCGAAAAAACGTATATTTTCAAATAGTATCCTGTATCAGACTGACCTGGAACATCAACGTGTTAAAAATGTTGAGGACATCGTCAATATTCTGCCAACACTATGAGACTGCCTCGGTGGTGTAGTGGATAGAGAGTTTGTCCTGAGAACGCAATGTCGGTAAAGACGAATGGATGTAAAAAGAATATATTTGTTGTTACCTTGCCTGGCGCTCGGCGTTAAGGGGGTAAAACAAAGAATGACCGGCTCGTGTTCAGTATAAAGGCTGCAAACCCCCTTTTGTGGGATGCCAGCTTCCCCTTCTCCTGAATCCCAAATACCATCTAATGTTTCACTCTAAATTGCACTCTAAACTCAAAAGTATTGAGAAAAGGATGCGAGTTAAAGTTAAATTACTGAAAAATATCGAAAAGATCAAATAATGTTTTTTAAAAATGTTAAATCTGTGTACCAAATACGACTTTATTTGCGTTCCGTGAACCCCACTTCTGAGTTCTGAATACCCTCTAAATACGAGTAGCTTCCTTTTGGTATGAGGACCGCCTCCGTGGTCTAATGGTAGAGCGTCCGCCCGGAGAGCGGAAGGTCCGGGGTTCAATCACAGTCCGCGTCATACCAAAAGACGTTAAAAGATGGTACTTGTTGTTACCCTGTCTGGTGCTGCACATTAAGGTGCTAAACAAGGACTGGTCGGCTCGGAGTCAGTACACTGTGTCTGAGTGACCCATTCATGTTAAACTACAACATGGTCTCTCAGTGGGCAAGCACTATAAATCGACATCAGTCTGAACTTGTACAAGCAGCCACACACACGACGCTATGCAAGTGCAATAATCTTGGACTCGACGTTAAACCCCATTTCACCTGACCTCACCTTTTGGTACGCGGGAATTCGTGGGTCTGTTTATTGGATATTAGGGACTTAGCAGAGATATAGGAGGGGCCCAGAGTGAAATATTAGATGGTATTCGGGAATCAGGTTAAGAGGGACCCAGGGTGAAAAATTAGATGGTATTCGGGTATCAGGTATATATATAATTCAATCAGTCTCGCTGTTAAAAGATTACCAAATATATCACATTTTCACCCAAGGCATTACATCCGGCGTCTGGACCTAAACTGTAGTAGGTCGAACAATGTTCACCATTTGAGATACGATAAGTACACTTACCTCGTATGAATCAAGGGTAGAGAGTTTTGAGTTTGGGAGATTTCTGCGCCTGACCCTTTCACACCCTATTTGCAGTATAACGGTATATACCAGTGCACTTATAGCACGAGACAGCTCCCGCTTTCCAGGAATCCTTCAACCCGCGTAGACACTCCGCGTAGGTGTGTGGTCCACTTCTTAGAAAACAGAGCTCCGCGGGAATATCCACACAGTTGACGCTGGAGGGCGAATGTGTTCCCCAACCTGAGTGTATTCACATCAACATCCGGGTTTGTATATCAATGCCTTACATCGTGACTTCCATATTAATCGACACCATTTAAGTTGATCGGTATAAAAGCTGTAAATTGATTTGGGTAATTCTTTTTTACAGGAACTGATATTTTTGTTTATTTTCCTCAGATATGTTATATTTTGACATAGATATCAGCATGTGGCATATATGATATGTCTCGCTTATCGCAAACTATTGTATCATGTATAACAGTATGTTCGAAACATACACTGGTTTAATGTCGGGAGTTGTTTTGTTGGAAGTAAATACAGATTAGAAAAGAATGTGCATAGTAATAGATGGCAATGCTAGATATATCATTGTTATATACATTTTTTTTAAAACGTACTGTAGACGGGCAGTTAGAATTCATCTTTTACAACCAAATGGCTGTACATTGAGGAAAATTGCTCTTATTGTTTCCAATGTAATCATGGTAATTGTTTTTTTTTCTAAAAATGAAAAATATTAATAATCAGACCACCTTGGCTGTTAACACATACATCAATATTTACATGAATTGGGTGTTGGCTTTAAATAATATTCATCTTAAAATTTTGACATTCTTTCGAATTCCGTATGCAGATATTTACACAATACATCTTGAGCCGTATACTAGACTAATTCGCTAAAACAAATATAGGGGAGGGTGTGTGTAAAAAATATTCTTGTGTCTCAAATTTTGATAACATTAAATCATGTATACCATCAAGTATACACGAATTAACTTCAAGTTGATATTTTTCAATGGAAATAATTTAGTTTCAAGAACTATTTCTTCAACTTATGTAATACGGTGCTTATTTTCACTGAACATATCGACAGGCATATACATGTACAGACATAAAGGCATAGTCTCCCTTGTAGTGTTTTCCAAATCCCAGTGAAATTCAGGAAACACATGTATATCTTCCACATAGGATATTCACTGTTCCACGATTTTAGAACGTGTTTTACTTGCTGAGGGTATGTTTACGTTTACTGTCTTCAGTTTACACGCCTCAACCATATTGTCAAATATCTTCTCCTTGCAGTCAAAAATGGGGGTAGTCGTTAAGGTCATTGAAGCCGTTTAAGAGACTTTAAAGGGAAAAAAAACATTGAGTGACCATGAGTTGACCCCATCCGATATCTTACAAGGGTTGACTGATGCATTCTGTGCCACTCATAGAAAGATTTGAATTAAAGACGTTAAAATTATTTCTTTTCCAGCATAAACCCCCTTCCACATTGGTACAGTTTGCCAACGATGTGCGTATCGTATTATCATTTTTGTCATTGTCACAACACTAAAGTAATTACATGTCAGTTGTAATCACTTATATAATTCCTCTCACTTAACGGCATAAATGCCATAGAAAGTCTCAGTCAAAACGAACTGCAAAACCCGATGTCTGAAAAGGAATTTAAGATAGATCCCTGGTAAACCCTCAAACATGAGGGGCTAACCGTAGGGGAGGTAACTCCATTTCTTCCCTTTACCCCACCAGGCGTCGTCAGAGAGAGCATGGCTGTCAAGGCAGTGTTTTTAACTGACGGTACAAGTAAAGTTTGAGCGTTTTCGTCAATTTCAACAACATTACGATGGACCAAGGTGCCTTCTCGGGGAAGACATTGCACGAGCGACTGAAATTAGTTGTGAAGGAAACTAACGAAGATCGGTTTCAATTTGAACTGACAAATTTCAACAAGCAAGTTGAAAATGCTGAAAACACTTATGTTGTATCATGCTTAGGTTCAGTGTCAATACATGAAACGTTACATCAGTTAATTAACAGAGCAGTCGATTGTGAGATATCTGACGTCGAACCTTCAGAGTATACCAAGGATGTCTTCCGAGGTAGGGCAGCGCTGTCAGAAAATGTTTTGGAGAGTGTCCTCTGCTTACTGAAGTGCATATCACCTGAAGATGCGGCAGTTACAAGAACATTGAGAAAGATAAATCCACATGTAGTACACTTGGCCTCAGGGAATGTGGTGAAGAATCTATGGACCAGCGCCAGCTCTGTCCTCAAGGCCACTAAGGTGCTGCAGCAGTTGAAGACGCTGTACAGAGTAGATGCTTACTCCGACCTCCTTCAAGTGGGTATATATTAGTCAAGGTTTGTTTGTTGGTTGGTTGGTTGGTTGGTTAACGCCACACTCAGCAATATTACTGCTATATGACGGTGGTCTGTAAATAATCGAGTCTAGACCAGACAATGCAGTGATTGACATCATAATCACCGATCTGCGCAATTGGGATCGATGACATGCATCAACCAAGCCAGCTAGCCTGACCACCTGATCCCGTTAGTCACCTCTTACGACAAGCATAGTCGTCTTTTATGGCAAGTATGGGTTGCTGAAGACCCATTCTACCCCGGATCTTCATGGGTCTGCAGTCAAAGTATTATACTTCAGTCAGGGTATATGTTAAAGTATGACGACAACTTTCAACCAACTATTTGTTCGAGAAAACATTTAGCAACAAAAAGAAAATCACCAACAATGGGTTTGGGGTACAACCAATTATCATAGAGACACTCTCTGCACACCAAACATGAGGATTATTAAGAATATCATGATTTCATATGACGAATAGTGTAAAGACTTTACATCCTTCCGTTTGCTTTGACGTTTTATACATGAATGTATGATCATCCCGATCCACCTAGTCAAAATGGTCATGGGCTAACAAAGTGAAAACATACATTAAAAGTTAAAATCTGACATCAATTAATTTTATTTCTATATAAATCTATTTAATACTTGTTTCATTTAAATAAATATAGAAACTAACAAATGATATTGGTATATATATATATTGCTTGATCTGATCTGCATGCCTTTTATATTGTTTGATAGAATTGTTTTATTCAGATTGATTAATACTTTCCATGCTAAGTGTCTTCATACATATGACATTTTTCAGTTTATTTTACTTACTTTCACCTTATGTACATGTACATAAGTCAGTGACTAGTGGTAGCATTATATTAGATTTCACACAAATCCACACAGCTTAGGTTTGGTGGAGAGCAATGATGAATATTTCTCAGTTTTAGGAAATAACTGTATTGTAATCAATCAGGTATCAATTATCTCAATAATTTCAAGTTATTGAAGTTCATGATCATAGAACCATAAGACTATGACAATTTTTCTATTTGATTTGACAATTTTGACTTTGGATTTTATGGCTGTGTTTATGTCATTCCGTCCAGGTTAGCCTGACTGGAACCAAGCATGACCTGCCTTCTCCAGCAGACTCCTTGTACGGTCTGTACCTGGCTATAGTACAACACGTACTGACCAGGGACAGCTGGCGGAGGAACCCTGTTTCTGTTGCTTCGTTTGTGTGGGTGCTGCTTCACACCAAGTCCCCCTGGCTCAGTGAGTACCTAGGACAGGTTCTACCCTTGCCTCTCAATATGGTGGATGATTTCACGGTTGAGAACAAGATTGTCGGTGTGAAATGTTTGTACCACATCCTGCAGAATGTGTCGCATGAGGAACTACGCTGGTATGGCCGGGCTGATGTCGTGTATGCAGCCTTGAGGCATCAGCTGTACACAAAGAACACCACCTTGATGACGGTCCTCCACCCGGCGCTGCTCCTCGTCCTCCGCATTGTGGAGAGGGCAGCTACATCAGCAAGTTCCAGAGAAATGAGCAGGTAATGTGGGCATCAATGATCTAAGAACTGGCACACCATTGCAGAGGTGAGGTGAGGTGAAATGGGGTTTTACGTCGCGTCCAAGATTATTGCACTTATATAGCGACGTGCATGTATGTGTGTGTTTGTGTGGCTGCTTGTACTAGTCTGGACTGATGCCGATTTATTGTGCTAGCTCACTGAGATACCATGCCGCAGTTTAACATGAATACCCCACTCAGACACAGTATACTCCGAGCCGAGAAATTCTTGTTTTAGCCCCTTAATGCCAAGCGCCAGACAGGGTAACAACAAGTACCATCTTTTAACGTCTTTTGGTATGACGCGGCCGGGGATCGAACCCCGGACCTTCCGCTCTCCGGACGGACGCTCTACCACTAGACCACGGAGGGGGTCACCATTGCAGAGTGATACTTGGTGCACGTTATGGTATTGGAACAATTTACTCAAGGTCTGGTTTGTTGTTTAACGCCGCACTCAGCAATATTCCAGCTATTTGACGGCGGTCTGTAAATAATCAAGTCTGGACCAGACAATCCAGTGATTGATATCATGAGCATCGATCCACCCAATTGGGATCGACGACATGCATCAACCAAGTCAGCGAGCCTGACCACACTCAAGGTCTGGTACTTTTTTAAGGTTTTACATGCATTATTCAAATATGTTGTATTTGATACGTATACCCCAGTTTCAAGTGTGTTCATCTGAGGTGCATTGATATGCTAGCACATGTTGTAACGGCATTGCATGTGCACCACCCTGGGGGCGAGGCATGCGGCCATAACCCATGTGCTCAGTCGACCCTTCTTTCATCTCCTCTCTTGGTGTCTCAGTGGTAAAACACTTGGTTAAAATACTAAATGTGATACGTGGATGCAGGTTCGATTCACATCATGGAATTTTCATGTGAAATGTCTTCACTTTTAACAAATCAAAAATATGAATTCAATTGATATGGTTCAAAAGTAAGACCTCAAATTAGGTTTTATATAGGATTCAAAGTAAAACCTTAGGTATTATGCAAAAGAAATAAAACCTCAAAGCAGGCCTTACTTGGGAAGTGAGTCTGGTTTTACGTTGCTTTTAGCAATATTCCTCCAATATCACAGCGAGGGACACCAGAAATCGGCTTCACACATTGTACCCATGTGGGGAAGTGAACCTGGATCTTCGGTGTGACGAGCAAATGCTTTAACCACTAGACTGCCCCACTGCCTCCTTACTTAGGAAGTGAGATCTCCCAATTTATTTCACTCCAACCATTCAAAGTGATAAAGTCAAACTTGCTCAGATGAGAAGAATGGGATGTCGTTACTGGAGATTTGTTACCACAGAAGAGGGCAATAGTTGATGCTGATGTATATGGTGAAATAGAAAATAAGAAATATAGCCCAAACCAAGAAGATATTTACCTGCCTTCAACTAGTACTTTGGGTAACTAACTCAACAGAAGGAGCATTAGGCCCCAAACTAAGTGTGTTTCCTATTACTTCTGTAAACAGGGTGACATTACAATGTTGAGCTGTTTGATTGGAGGTGTCGTCCCGAGGCAAGGGAGTTAACTGACTGTAAAAGTCCAGTTTCCACCCTTACCGAGCAAGGCTGGAATTCCGGAGTTACATTTTTGCCTGGACTAACAAGTCTGTGCATAGTCCAAACAAAATAGAGTAATGAACTAGACATCCGGTTCATAAACAACATGAAATTCAACGTACAGATTTCGATCGACTGCAGGGTTTGCAAAGCATGTGTACCGTCAGCTTGGCATCAGCTGATATTTTCCGAATTTTTTCTGTTTTTAATCTAGGTGCACAAATGATTGGATGCACTTTGCGATGTAAGGCCCGTTTTATTACAATATAGATCTTGACTATCGATCAGATCGTCTTGACTGGGCGCCGCCATATTGTATGAAGCAAATGCTGTTAACTCCCTTGCCTCGGGAAGACATCTTTCCACCAAGCCCAGTTTTCACCCTAGCCGAACTAGGCTGGTATTATGGAGTTACGCTTTGGCTTGACTGACAAGTCTATGCATAGTCCAATCACAATCGTGCAACGAAATCGAAATCCGGTCATGCAGCTTTTGGTCGATTGCAGGATTTGCAAATCATTTGCACAGCCAACTTGCTGTCAACAGATATTTTCTAATACCTTTCATGTTTTTAATCAAGGTGCTCACATGATTTGATGCACCTTGCGATGTAAGACCTGTTTTATCACAGTATAGATCTTGATTATTGATCAGATTGTCTTGACTGGGCGCCACCAATTTGTTTGAAGCAAATGCAAGTGATACGAGAGGTAGAATCTGATTGGTCCATAGGAGAGGCATAGAAGGGACATAACTCGTAGCAGCTAGTGGTGGCGCTACGATCAAGCCAAGGAATTCCAGCCTAGTTTGGCAAGGGTGGAAACTGGACTTTTAAAGCCAGTTAACTCTCTTGCCCCAGGAAGATGCGGAAAGATGGCTTGGAGGAGACAACAACAGTTTGTCATGTTGATTTAAGAACATGGATAAAATCTGTGTTGGTTGTATCAAAGTTACATTTTTGAAGAATATACATCAAACAAAGCACGTTATAATCGTTACTGTTCTCTAACATCTTCCTAAAAGGGCATTGTGTGTTTCTGTTTTTGTTATCAGCGTTGGTTAATTAAAAATAATTTATCATAAAGGACCTTATAAACCAACTGCCACTTTTGCCTGTTATAGTGTATGTATCTTCGTGTCTCATAGTAACTTTGTCAGAGGTCCTACTTTCAGGACCTGCTTAGGGGATTTACATTTTGAATTGTAAGTCCTAGGTTTTACATTTGACGTTTATAAACCTGCTTTGAGATTTTACATTTAAATTGTAAGACCTAGGTATGATGCTTGATTGGTAAAAAGTCACCAAAAGTTTTCACTTGAAAATTCCAAGACACGAATCAAACCTCCAACCTCCACATATCATGTTATTTTTTGTATTTAGCATGTTAGGACGGTTCATGGGTTGGATTAAACATTCCTCCTTTGGTTTGGTTGAAAATGTAAAAAACAACGAGCTCATATCCTGCCCATCGATGGGTCTATGGCCCTCAGGCTTTTCCCTCGCTCACAGTTTCACATTTTCAACCAAAACCGAGAAGTGCTAAATCCTTAACTTATTTATTTATGTATGCTCTTTCAAATTTCTCGAGGAAATAAGGAATTTCTATTTGTAAGGACTAATAAGCAGGTGCAAGACCCATTTACTGCTATGAAGGGTTCATGGAAATTTTATCTAGTTTTGAAAATATATATTCCATTTTCTTGTGGAGGAACAATGAACAGACAGCTAGATGTCAATTAGAACATCTCTCCTGAAACATCTTAAACATATATATAACAAAATGTGCATTTATACATCATAATCAGTGATAATGGATAAAAACTAACAATGTACAAAATAATTTATAGCATAATCATGATAATGGATATTGAATGACCATCAAATGTGCATGGTCTATGGTTATCTGTACTCATTTGCAGAGGTCTCATAATAAAACTATTCAATTTGAGAGGAAGTTTTATTTATAGATTGAGGAAAAGGCTATGTTTGTCTTGCTTGAGTTGAGTCAGGGCTATTTATTATACAAAATATCATTCCCATACTTGCAAGACATGTGGAAGTATGAGGACCAATAATAAAAATGGACATTCTGGGATAAAGTGACATTCATCTTCATGAAGATAACCACGGGAACAATTTACTGACTGAGTAGGGGGCGGTCGGGTAGCCTAGTGGTTAAAGCGTTCGCTCGTCACAACGAAGACCCGGGTTCGATTCCCGACATGGGTACAATGTGTGAGCCCATTTCTGGTGTCCCCCACTGTGATATTGCTGGAATATTGCTAAAAGTGGCATAAAACCATACTCACTCACTCAGTCACTCTTGTGGAGTAGTATTTACATATATATATATACACATACAAAATTGAAATTTTAATGAGTGGCATGAGTACATAGGTCAAGTTTTTAGAGACAAAAATGATATCTGACCAAAAAAGGACAAATTATCTATTTAAGCAGCCCCATGTAAATGTGATGCTTTTAGGTTTTGTCTGAGTTTGACAGCCACTACTCTACTCTGCTTTTGAAACCATTCAGCACTTGAACATCCCCAATCTCATTAAAAAAAGTTCTTAGTTCTCGCTACCGCTAAACAAAGATCTGAGGACATCCCATTACAGGTCGTGTCAGACCGACCATGTACGAACTTTGACCGACCAATGAAATGACTGACAAGAAGTCAACATAAGCCAATCAGAAGGCAGCTTTCTCGCGCTCTACGGCACTAATTTCAATTGGCAACTACGCTTTGAAACATATTTTGACAAATTCTTGATAAAAATGTTTAAAACCTGAACAAAAGAACATTCTGGAATGGCTAATACATAGTCAAGATTGTATGGATTCAGTCGTTAAGCCTGTAACTATCGTTCGGAATACCCCATGTTAAAGTTTTCGAGGTTGCATGATAAGAAATCACATTCCGATTGTCACTTTCATGATCTGGTAAGCAACGCTCTGATTGGTCAGTTGAAAGGTTGTTCTGATGTGACCCCTAATGGGATGTCCTCAGATCTTTGTTCAGCGGTAGTGAGAACTAAGATCTGATTTTAATGAGACTGGAACATCCCAGGGATATTATATCTGGTATATCTCCATTATAGCCCTAGGAATTATGTTTGGTGCCATTGACCTGTCATGTCAAAGGTCAAGGTCATCTTTGATGTCATAACCTAAAGATAACTTCATTTAAACAATAACTCATTTCCTGTATGTTAATGAAATGTGCTACATCTTCCTTGAGGTGGGGCCCTGATGTGAAAAGCTTGTGATCACCAAGGTCACAGTGAAAGTCATTAGTAAAGTATGTTTAACATTTTGGCTGTAGTGGTTATATTGTTATATTGTTTGATAACTTACGATTGACAAGTGATGCCAATGTTTTGATATCAAAAGTAGGGCACCTTGACCTTTCTTTCTGTGTGTACCATATACAATTTAATTATTGAAACCAAAAGATGCTTGGTTTTGTCAAGGATATCATACCATGTACATATCATTTAGACCTCCGTTGTAACCCTGGGATATCATTTTGGCACATTCATGTCATGTCAAGAGTCGAAGTCATTCTCCATATAAGCCTGGAAACTTAGGGTTGTGAGTGACCTATGTGTAAGGTCAAGGTCACAGTGAAAGTCATTCATGAAGTAAGTTTGTCATTTTACTAAAATGCCTTATTCTGCAGACTTTTATGATTTCAACATTTACTTGAGATAGTTTCTCACACTCCCCACTGTTGGGACTTTAGCCATTAGGACTTTTGTAGTATAATTATGCAAACAATTTTGTGAATCACACTGAATGACTTCCATTAGCATAAACTGCTCTGATTTCAGTTTGACATGTTTGTTTACAACCAGAGAAAAGTCTGGCCACTTGAAATGCCAATTGGCTTATGGCACTGGTGCCCCAGAGAGTGGCAGGTAATCCGTTCCCATGCAGTTACCTGGCCAGGCAGAAACAGAAACAGAAGCTCAGTTGTACTTATTTACAATGATCAAGATGTCTTCTTTGTTTCAGGCATGATGAAATCTTCAAGATGATAATTTACGATTCAGAAATGGAGAACAACATCCACCTGCGGCGCTCGCTCACTGCTCACATACCAGCCTTCATTGACGTCATGGGCATCAGTGTCGTGTGTCACATGACCAGTGTCGTGGGGCTTGTCTCCAACTACCTGGAAATCTATGATGGGCCCGAAGAGACGTCCAGGTTGAATGCGTTATCGATTTTGAAGTCTCTACTGCTGACTGTTTGGCCGAGAATCCCAGTCCATGCCAACGTCTTGCTGAAATGTCTTCTCAAGTTTCTGTATGATGTTGGGGCTGACACTACAGTAACGCCTCAGACTGTGAAAGATGAAATGACGAAATTGGCAACCGAATGCTTGTTGCTTCTGACAAAAACAGCTCCAGATATCGTTGAACCTGGGCTCCTGTCGGTTTGTGACACAGACACACCTGTATTTGTGAGGGACATCGCTAGCAAGGTGTGTGAAACATTCAGACACACATGTGTTGGTTAGAGACATCGCTAGCAAGGTGTGTGAAACAGTCAGACACACATGTGTTGGTAAGAGACAGAGCTAGCAAGGTGTGTGAAACAGTCAGACACACATGTGTTGGTAAGAGACAGAGCTAGCAAGGTGTGTGAAAGTCAGACACACATGTGTTGGTTAGAGACAGAGCTAGCAAGGTGTGTGAAACATTCAGACACACGTGTTGGTTAGAGCTATAGCTAGCAAGGTGTGTGAAACAGTCAGACACACATGTGTTGGTAAGAGACAGAGCTAGCAAGGTGTGTAAAACATTCAGACACACATGTGTTGGTTAGAGCTATAGCTAGCAAGGTGTGTGAAACAGTCAGACACACATGTGTTGGTAAGAGACAGAGCTAGCAAGGTGTGTAAAACATTCAGACACACGTGTTGGTTAGAAACATAGCCAGCAAGGTGTGTGAAACATTCCGACACACATGTGTTGGTTAGAGACAGAGCTAGCAAGATGTGTGAAACATTCCGACACACATGTGATGGTTAGGGACAGAGCTAGCAAGGTGTGTGAAAGATTTTGATATATGTGTTGTTAGAGACAAAGCAAGCAAATTGTGTAAAACATTTTGACAAATCACATTAAAATCAGATCTTAGTTCGCGCTATCACTAAATAAAGATCTGAGGACATTCACCCAGAGCAACCTTTTGTGATTCTTGGCCGACTAATGAAATGGTTTAATGTATGTATGTCACAGCTGTGTCGTGAAGAGTCATGTAACTGAGACAAACACGTCATGTATGTATGTCACAGCTGTGTAGTGAAGTGTGTCATGTAACTGAATCACATATGTCATGTATGTATGTCAGAGCTGTGTCGTGAAGAGTGTCATGTAACTGAGACACACATGTCGTGTGTATGTCACAGCTGTGTCGTGAAGAGTGTCATGTAACTGAGACACACATGTCGTGTGTATGTCACAGCTGTGTCAGGAGGTGTGTCATGTAACTGATTCACACATGTCATGTATGTATCTCACAGCTGTGTCGTGAAGAGTGTCATGTAACTGAGACACACATGTCGTGTGTATGTCACAGCTGTGTCAGGAGGTGTGTCATGTAACTGAATCACATATGTCATGTATGTATGTCACAGCTGTGTCGTGAAGAGTCATGTAACTGAGACACACATCATGTATGTATCTCACAGCTGTGTCAGGAGGTGTGTCATGTAACTGAGACACACATGTCATGTGTGTATGTCAAAGCTGTGTCGTAAAGTCATGTAAATGAGACACACGTCATGTGTGTATGTCACAGCTGTGTAGTGAAGTGTGTCATGTAACTGAATCACATATGTCATGTATGTATGTCACAGCTGTGTCGTGAAGAGTGTCATGTAACTGAGACACACATGTCGTGTGTATGTCACAGCTGTGTCAGGAGGTGTGTCATGTAACTGATTCACACATGTCATGTATGTATGTCACAGCTGTGTCGTGAAGAGTCATGTAGCTGAGGCACATGTCATGTATGTATCTCACAGCTGTGTCGTGAAGAGTGTCATGTAACTGAGACACACATGTCGTGTGTATGTCACAGCTGTGTCAGGAGGTGTGTCATGTAACTGAGACACACATGTCGTGTGTATGTCACAGCTGTGTCAGGAGGTGTGTCATGTAACTGATTCACACGTCATGTATGTATCTCACAGCTGTGTCGTGAAGAGTGTCATGTAACTGAGACACACATGTCGTGTGTATGTCACAGCTGTGTCAGGAGGCGTGTCATGTAACTGATTCACACATGTCATGTATGTATGTCACAGCTGTGTCGTGAAGAGTCATGTAACTGAGGCACATGTCATGTATGTATCTCACAGCTGTGTCGTGAAGAGTGTCATGTAACTGAGACACACATGTCGTGTGTATGTCACAGCTGTGTCAGGAGGTGTGTCATGTAACTGAGACACACATGTCGTGTGTATGTCACAGCTGTGTCAGGAGGTGTGTCATGTAACTGATTCACACATGTCGTGTGTATGTCACAGCTGTGTCAGGAGGTGTGTCATGTAACTGATTCACACATGTCATATATGTATCTCACAGCTGTGTCGTGAAGAGTGTCATGTAACTGAATCACATATGTCATGTATGTATGTCACAGCTGTGTCGTGAAGAGTCATGTAACTGAGGCACATGTCATGTATGTATCTCACAGCTGTGTCGTGAAGTGTCATGTAACTGAATCACATATGTCATGTATGTATGTCACAGCTGTGTAGTGAAGTGTGTCATGTAACTGAATCACATATGTCATGTATGTATGTCACAGCTGTGTCGTGAAGAGTCATGTAACTGAGACACACGTCATGTATGTATCTCACAGCTGTGTCAGGAGGTGTGTCATGTAACTGAGACGCACACGTCATGTGTGTATGTCAAAGCTGTGTCGTGAAATCATGTAACTGAGACACACGTCATGTGTGTATGTCACAGCTGTGTAGTGAAGTGTGTCATGTAACTGATTCACACGTCATGTATGTATCTCACAGCTGTGTCGTGAAGAGTGTCATGTAACTGAGACACACGTCATGTGTGTATGTCACAGCTGTGTCTTGAAGTGTGTCATGTAACTGAGACACACACGTCATGTATGTATGTCACAGCTGTGTCTTGAAGTGTGTCATGTAACTGAGACATACACGTCATGTATGTATCTCACAGCTGTGTCGTGAATTGTGTCATGTAACTGAGACACACACGTCATGTGTGTATGTCACAGCTGTGTCGTGAATTGTGTCATGTAACTGAGACACACATGTCATGTGTGTATGTTACAGCTGTGTCAGGAGGTGTGTCATGCAACTGAGACACATGTCATGTATGTATGTCACAGCTGTGTTGTGAAGTGTCATGTAACTGATTCACACGTCATGTGTGTATGTCACAGCTGTGTCATGAAGTGCGCAGTGTAACTGAATCACATATGTCATGTATGTATGTCACAGCTGTGTCGTGAAGTGTGCCATGTAGCTATCTCATGTATCTACTGGTTTGTCAAAGATGAGTCACATGGGTATAGGGGTCAACAACTGCTTACTCACACTTCCACAAAGCAGGATGCAGTTCGTAACTATGTTGTGCTGAGTAGAAGTCAGTCAGGTCAGCGGCAGGATGTTAATGTCCGCCTGTTTTCCGGCGGACAGCGGTGGCTGTCATTGGGAGAAGACAGGGGGAGGGAGAGGGAGGGAGGGAGAGAGAGAGAGAGAGATTGTACTGATTGACACTACAACAATACACTATTACCCAGAGAGAGGGAGAGAGAGAGAGGGGTATTGTACCGATTAGCACAACAACACACTATTACCCAGAGAGGGTGAGAGAGAGGGGAATTGTACTGATTGACACTACAACAACACACTATCGTCCAGAGGGAGGGAAACAGAGAGGGGGGAATGATACTGACTGACACACAACTCATTAACACCCGTAGAGAGAGGGGAATTGTACTGATTGACACTACAACAACACACTACTACATACAGAGAGAGAGAGAGAGCGCAAGAGAGAGAGGTATTGTACTGTTTGACACTACAACACACTCACACCCAGAGAAGGGAGGGGGGAATTGTTTGTACTGACACTACAACTCAACACCCTGTGAGAGAGAGAGAGAGGGGGGACCTCATTTGTCAGGTCTGCATGACCTCCTTATTGGGACCTCTATAGTAAGTAGATTTGTATGCATCACGATCACAAACCTTTGGAGATATACGTAAAACATACACAACATCATCTATTGGAAATTAAATTTTAAATTTACTTTAAATATTCAAGGAAGCCACATATTATATGATGGGTCAACTTAACTGTGATGCAGCCTGAATTATATCATGCACCCAGACAGCAGGTACATTGGGATTGCTCAACTTCAAACTCTATTCTCAAGTAAATTGGTAAGTGGTTGTGTAGCAGATTGTTAATAAATGTGCCCAATTCAGCGTGTGTTGTAACAATAAGAGGCGACTCAAGGTGGTCATTGACGCTAAACTTGGACACCTGCAATTTGTGGCTGTTCATAATTTGGTCTCATTTGTTTTAAACTTTTTTTTGAAAATAAAGGTGTTTCATTGATGAGATGATCCTCATGGGCTGGAGGATGGAGTAATCCTTACTGGGTGTTGAGCTGATGTGTTGTCAGCCATGGCAGCTGTTACAGTGTCAGTCAGTACAACCCAGCTGTTACAGTGTCAGTCAGTACAACCCCCCCCCCCCTCTCTGGGTGTTGAGCTGATGTGTTGTCAGCCATGGCAGCTGTTACAGTGTCAGTCAGTACAACCCCCCCTCTCTTTCTGGGTGTTGAGCTGATGTGTTGTCAGCCATGGCAGCTGTTACAGTGTCAGTCAGTACAACCCCCCCCCCCCCCCTCTCTCTCTCTCTCTCTGGGTGTTGAGCTGATGTGTTGTCAGCCATGGCAGCTGTTACAGTGTCAGTCAGTACAACCCCCCCCCCCTCTCTCTCTCTCTCTCTGGGTGTTGAGCTGATGTGTTGTCAGCCATGGCAGCTGTTACAGTGTCAGTCAGTACAACCCCCCCCCCCCCCCTCTCTCTCTCTCTCTCTGGGTGTTGAGCTGATGTGTTGTCAGCCATGGCAGCTGTTACAGTGTCAGTCAGTACAACCCCCCCCCCCCTCTCTCTCTCTCTCTCTGGGTGTTGAGCTGATGTGTTGTCAGCCATGGCAGCTGTTACAGTGTCAGTCAGTACAACCCCCCCCCCCCCCCTCTCTCTCTCTCTCTCTCTGGGTGTTGAGCTGATGTGTTGTCAGCCATGGCAGCTGTTACAGTGTCAGTCAGTACAACCCAGCTGTTACAGTGTCAGTCAGTACAACCCCCCCCCCTCTCTCTCTCTCTCTCTGGGTGTTGAGCTGATGTGTTGTCAGCCATGGCAGCTGTTGCAGTGTCAGTCAGTACAACCCAGCTGTTACAGTGTCAGTCAGTACAACCCCCCCCCCTCTCTCTCTCTCTCTCTGGGTGTTGAGCTGATGTGTTGTCAGCCATGGCAGCTGTTACAGTGTCAGTCAGTACAACCCAGCTGTTACAGTGTCAGTCAGTACAACCCCCCCCCTCTCTCTCTCTCTCTCTGGGTGTTGAGCTGATGTGTTGTCAGCCATGGCAGCTGTTACAGTGTCAGTCAGTACAACCCAGCTGTTACAGTGTCAGTCAGTACAACCCCCCCCCTCTCTCTCTCTCTCTCTGGGTGTTGAGCTGATGTGTTGTCAGCCATGGCAGCTGTTACAGTGTCAGTCAGTACAACCCAGCTGTTACAGTGTCAGTCAGTACAACCCCCCCCCTCTCTCTCTCTCTCTCTGGGTGTTGAGCTGATGTGTTGTCAGCCATGGCAGCTGTTACAGTGTCAGTCAGTACAACCCAGCTGTTACAGTGTCAGTCAGTACAACCCCCCCCCTCTCTCTCTCTCTCTCTGGGTGTTGAGCTGATGTGTTGTCAGCCATGGCAGCTGTTACAGTGTCAGTCAGTACAACCCAGCTGTTACAGTGTCAGTCAGTACAACCCCCCCCCTCTCTCTCTCTCTCTCTGGGTGTTGAGCTGATGTGTTGTCAGCCATGGCAGCTGTTACAGTGTCAGTCAGTACAACCCAGCTGTTACAGTGTCAGTCAGTACAACCCCCCCCCTCTCTCTCTCTCTCTCTCTCTGGGTGTTGAGCTGATGTGTTGTCAGCCATGGCAGCTGTTACAGTGTCAGTCAGTACAACCCAGCTGTTACAGTGTCAGTCAGTACAACCCCCCCCCCTCTCTCTCTCTCTCTCTGGGTGTTGAGCTGATGTGTTGTCAGCCATGGCAGCTGTTACAGTGTCAGTCAGTACAACCCAGCTGTTACAGTGTCAGTCAGTACAACCCCCCCCCCTCTCTCTCTCTCTCTCTGGGTGTTGAGCTGATGTGTTGTCAGCCATGGCAGCTGTTACAGTGTCAGTCAGTACAACCCAGCTGTTACAGTGTCAGTCAGTACAACCCCCCCCCCTCTCTCTCTCTCTCTCTGGGTGTTGAGCTGATGTGTTGTCAGCCATGGCAGCTGTTACAGTGTCAGTCAGTACAACCCAGCTGTTACAGTGTCAGTCAGTACAACCCCCCCCCCTCTCTCTCTCTCTCTCTGGGTGTTGAGCTGATGTGTTGTCAGCCATGGCAGCTGTTACAGTGTCAGTCAGTACAACCCAGCTGTTACAGTGTCAGTCAGTACAACCCCCCCCCCCTCTCTCTCTCTCTCTCTGGGTGTTGAGCTGATGTGTTGTCAGCCATGGCAGCTGTTACAGTGTCAGTCAGTACAACCCAGCTGTTACAGTGTCAGTCAGTACAACCCCCCCCCCTCTCTCTCTCTCTCTCTGGGTGTTGAGCTGATGTGTTGTCAGCCATGGCAGCTGTTACAGTGTCAGTCAGTACAACCCAGCTGTTACAGTGTCAGTCAGTA